GGCTTTGAGCTAAATGTTAACATCAACATGCTAACATGCTCACAATGACAATCCTAACATACTGACATTAATAATATTATCATATTAGTTTAACATGTTTAACATTTGATAATTAGCCCTAAACACAAAGTACAAAGCCTGATGGGAATGTCATTTTAATAATTTTTTGTGAATGTTTTAGTCGTCGGGCAATTTATCTTAGTTAGCTTAATTACCAAATAGTGTCTTCACATTTGGTCCTTGAGCTACTGGTTACTTGAACTTAATGTAGTAATGGTATTCCTTTAAGTTTGCGACCCATTTCTATAGAAGATTTTTCCTTAAAAACTCACCAGATCCTTGAGTGTATAGAATTACTAGATTCAAATAATACCATCAGTTAGACAAGGGGATATTTTTAAAAACAAAATGTTGCTGTCAAATCATTACTGCAAACCTTTACACATCACTTACAAAGCAAGGTTAAGCTCGACCCCAAGTAAGAAGGTAAGTAAATATGTTTGTCACAATGTAGGCTACTTTACAAACATGAAAAGAGTAATATTCAAGATGTTTTAACCCAGTGAGCCATTTTCAAGGCAGCCATTAAGAACTTTTGTTCAGAGCTAACATGGTGTGATTGGTGGCAGCGTTGGACTATCTATCTCTATAGAGAAAGAGATTAGAAAGGAATGGAGGAGAAGATGCTTGGTGGTGATAGAGAGGGAGTTGCAGGGTGAGGACTGTCTTCTTTATCCTGGCAGGGGTCTCCACACATTAAAACCAGATGCAGCCAGGCTCCAGAGAAGTGAGGTGCATTATGGATTGAACTTTGAGGTCTGGATGGCATATTTAGAATCTGCCAGGCTCATCCATCATAAAGTCAAAGCATGTTCAGAGCTCCTTTGCAAGCAGGCCAAAGGGAACAGAGCAGAGGTGTGTGGGTCACATGAGTACGCTGAACAAGTGGCCAGTGTTTATGTGTACATTGTGTGAAAGGCAAACTGGAGAATGGTCACCTATCTGCGAGATGGAGAAGATTCATGGCTGGGAGTCTGAAGAAGAGCGTTGTGTGTGGAAACCACAGTGACGTCCCCGACTGCTCAAAACAACCTCACTGCCAGGACTGGCCTCTCTGTGGTTTGTTTACATTGAGAGCTATTCCAGACAGCACGTGCACACACCGACGTGCACGGCCCTCTGCACACCTCGAGAAAATATGTGTAGCTCTCACTGCAACCACAGACTTGAAAAATCGGTCATGGGAGCGAGATGAGTGTACGTCTGTCTGTCTGTCTGTCTGTCTGTCTGTCTCCCTTACTCTCTTGCATGCAAACAAGCACACACCTGTATTACCCCCTCTCTTTTCCAGACCCAGTTCGCACAGCTGGCTTGGCAACATTATGTGAATGCAGTGAGACCAATTTTTGCAGATCTATGCGCACACACGTTTGTATCCTCATGTTTTTGACTGTGTGTGTGCGTGCGTGTGTGCGTGCGTGCGTGCGTGTGGTGTGTTGCAGGATGTGAGTGATTGCCCTGTGAGGAAGAAGATGATGGAGCACAAAAAAAATGAATCATCAGCAGACGGCTTGGCTGTCCTCCCCCCTCTGTGTCTCTCTCAAAGCCTCCTGGGATCTCAAATCTCTCAGGAACAGAGTCCTGATTGCAGAACTCTTCAATCATCTCCCACAAATTGGGGGCGGCCACTTGGCCAAATGGTAAAGGTGTCTGTTTCATAATGTCCCAAATCTACCATCCATAATGGAAAAGGTCATAGGTTTGATATACAGTGTCAAAGTAACTTTACTGAATGAAGGAGAAGGATAAAGCAGGTATGCAGGCAGTCATCCCCAAAATGAATGATCACAGTTTTTCAAAGAATAATTCATCTCTCTGAAGCAGTAATGGCTGAGAGCAGATGGAGAAAGGATTAAGTGAGACTGGCTGAAATATGATTTTATTTTTCTTGTTGTTTGTAAGAATGACAGCCTGTGACTGTGAGTTTAGTAATAAACTAAATCTGTTATGAAACCCAAGGTGATGCATGCAGACACATGCACAATAAAAACCAAACATAAACACAGATGTTTCCCCTGTGATTTTTTGAGAAATAATACATTTCTCTTGTAAATTTCCGAGGAAGTTACAGTACCTGTAAAATTAAGTTTTGCCACTTACAGTACTTCCACCTGAAACTTTTTGAAGTGAGATCTGTGTATCAACCAAAGTAAACAGGACATCTCCATAGAGTATCTGCATGATTAGATAGCACCAGACATAATATTAAAAATAAATGCTTGTTTGTTTTTTGTAATTTGGGTGAAATTACCCTTTAGTGTGTCCATGTACATCAGAGTAGATATGAGCAAAAAGCAACCTGAGTTTCACTGTGTGTAAAATGTCAGCAGAAGAGTCCAACTTGGTCACTGTAGTTATTTTCAGGCCTCTCTGGGTTCTCCCTCAGTGAGGCTGAGATTGAGCAACTCTTCCCATCGGCATGCTCACAGACATGCCTACGCCCACAAATGCACTCATCATCTGTGTCCCAGTATCTTACGGCTAATCTGTACCAGATCTCCACACTAATCCCATGAATGCCTGAGGATCAACATGATGGGCTCTTTAAGATGGACATGATGACACAAAAACACACCTGATGCAGAGAACGCCAGTAAAACTCCCAGCGCCGCTCCACGGCTTCCTGCTGTGGCTTCCAAACAATAACACAGAGGAGGGAAAACAATTCTCAGCAAACAAGATTACAGCTGCACAAGCTTAACAGGCATGCCATTAAGTACATCCCCCCAGACAACAAAGGCAAACACAGAGTTATCTTAGTTTTTTTTTATGAGAACTGAAAAAAACAGAAAACATTTCACATGATTTCCTGGCAATCTGTAGTAATCACCATGGAGAGCTGGTGGACCATCAAAGATACAATCAACCACTTAAGACACACAGTCAGCTCTGTGCAGCTCTGCACTGACTCTTATTTATGCTCTGATTTCCCTTTTGGCAGAGCTGCTGTTGGTAAAAGTAACTGTATGTACAGAGAGTGCAGACGTTATGTGGAGGGAACCATCAACAACGTTTCAGTTCTCTCTCCTCTGCCTGCTGTGTTGACTTCTCACTCAGGTCTGCTCTGCGTGTGTGTGTGTGTGTGTGTGGGTGTGTGTGTGTGTGTGTGTGTGTGTGTGTGTGCGTGCGCGCGCAACTAACACTCATTTAGTAACTGGTGGATGCACAGCGTTCCCGCCCGTCTCCACCCAGTCCTGAAATACACCAGGCGGGATGGTTACAGACACAAATACATAAACACATGCACACAGGCCTTTTGAAAAATAACTGTAGTAATCCTTTAATAATCCTTTCAGTGACTAAATAATTTCTGAACCAAACCAACCTGCTCCAAAAAGGCAATTGACTGATGATTTGACTTGATGAACTAAACAAGGACTGATATTGGGAGGTGTTCGCACTCAGCAGGATTACATCTGAATAACACTGGCTAGATTTTGGATAATTTCTGGATAATTTTATCAGGATAACTTTCCAGATAAGAAGAGGTTCTTGGTTTGACTTAGTGCAATTATCCTGCTCATTTGTAATGATCTTGTGGTCATGAGATGAGAAAAATGTTGACATACTGTAAATAATTTAGATGCTAGAGAAGGAAATAATATCATTATGTCATTATGCAGATGATACAATTTTGTATGTCTGTGAAGCTTCTCTTTCAGATGTACTTGAGCAGTCTGGCTATAATATTTTGCCGTGTTGAATGCAAATAAAATTAAATTGGTTTTATTTTCTAATGTTTCATACATGTCTTTCTTTCAGGCAATATGTTGAAAACCTTTTGAAGACAGTGACACTGAGGTCAGGTTTTTTATTTTAGACACAAGACTTTTCACCATCTCATGACTGTGGTGATTTGTGTTACATGAATGCATCAGTGCAGTATCTCTGCATGTGTCATAACTGTAAATTATATGGTAAATGACTCCTTTATCAACAGTCTGTTCTTATATTACTTTTAGCCATATTTTAGTATAATCTGTTTATTCTGGGTTTTTAGTTTTCTTTTAGTTATTTTTCTGACTTGGATTTTTCTATCTGCAACTTTTTTATGCTTGGCCAGGTCTGCCTTGTAAGAGGTTTCAGTTCAGGTTTCAGTGCACTGCTTACCAGGTTATATAACAATACAATATCACAAAATATAGGACAGATTAACACGTTTGAAATACTTCAAGTCTTAAAAAGTAAGATAAAAATGTAAAATTTATCCTGTGGGTGTCACTAGAAAAAAGTCTATTGAGTCAATGATATTAAAAAAGTTTATGTTTCAATGAGGTACAAAACAGAAACGAACTGCTATTTATGACTAGTAATATCACTATTAACTGCAAATTGTTAACTAAATAATATAGTATATATAATTCACAAATTATGACTAGTGATGTATCATTAATCGATAATCACTATTTCATAAGAACAGTGCTTACTAACTGCTAATTCAATATCTGATTGCTCTGAGGAAGTGACACATTAATTACTCTTAATCAACAGATCACTAACTTTTAATTAACAATAGTTTTATTAACTGCTAATTACTAATAACGTGTCAATAAATTGAATGAATACCAGCTGACTTATTAAAAGCTAACTGTTAATTATGAATAGTTTATCACTATTATAATGTAATAACTTGCTGCTGCTAATAGTGTTACATCATTAATTGCCAATTTCTAACTATTTAACAACTAGGTAAATAATGATATTTTATATATGATGGCATCACCAGCTCCAGCAGAGGGGGAGTTGGATAACTTGCTCAAGGGCATTTCAGCAGGGTTCCTGTCATAAACACCCTGTGCAGCAGGAGCTAGGAGGACGTGCTCGCCCCTGTCGGTTGTACATGGAAGTGATCCAGATCATGGGGGCTGGACTGGATCCAGGTGCAAAAAAAAGCCTGCCAGGATCATTAAGAGGGAGCTCTCCACTGGAGAGCGCACACACATATACACACACTCACAAAGACACTCACACACAGTCAGAGCAGAGCAGAGGAGCTCTCATCCAGATCGGTGCCAGACGCACGGTCGACTTTTTGATTTTGCGCGAGTTTTACAACGTTTTTGTTCATTTTTTTTAATTAAGAGTAGTTAATACATAACTGCTGTGTCAAGTTTGTGACCTTTCACGCCTCTTTGGAATATCTTTCGGGATTAAAGGTGGATACTTCACAGGCGCAGGTACAGTAAAGTTTGAAGACAAATAAAGGCTGAGTTGATATCACTGTGGGGTTTTGTCCACAGTCGATGTCTGGGCAACGGTTAAATGCCATTTCCTGATTTTCCCCCCTCTTCTCTGCTTGCAGAAGTCGTCTTGAGAAAGTTCGACCGGGACTGTTTCTTTCCGACGCAGGAGCGCGCAGCAGCTCGGAGCGCTTCAAGACTTAAAAAAAAAAATAGTCAGTGCGACTTCGTCTGGGGTATTTTTTGAATTGAGCCGTCCCAGAAATGGTGGGGCACCTACACTTACAAGCGATGGATGATAGCCTTAAAGGAAAGAACCGTGAAGGGCTGCTCGACAGTCCGGATTCGGGATTGCCCCCAAGTCCCAGTCCGCCCTTCTGCTCCCTCTCTCCGGGTCTGATCGAGTCGCGCTCCAGCAGCTGCACGACCCCCGTCGAAAGCCATCATGGATATTATAAAAAGGAAAGCAGAGAAGGCAAACTGGTAAGGAACACATCGCTGAACTTCCTGTATGGTTTGAATTGAAATTAATTTAGTAAAATCAAACAGACTCGGGTCTGTTTTGTGTCCAGAATCATTTTGCTGTCAGTCAGATCATTGACACACTGAATTAAAGGATAAAAGGACGTAATGGCCAAATAATGAGGCTGCTGTGAGGGACACTGAAAATCTGAGAGCATTTTATTGTTTGGCCAGAACCAGATTTCACTCCAGTCCTACTCACCCAACATCTGGAAGCTCTCTCTCTCTCTCTCTCTCTCTCTCTCTCTCTCTCTCTCTCTGTCTCTGTCCGGAATTCCTTAGTTGCAAACCTCTGATGTTGCACTCATGCTGAAGATGCCACTGGCCCTCAGTAATCCAGTAAAATGTCTTCTTTTTCACTCTGCTGCATCAGCTGGGCCCTGACTACATGGTGTCATAAGGGTCAGTGAGTTGATCAGGCCCAGCTGGGTTTCCAAACTGGGATCCAGGGACTCCCAGGGGTCCTTGCCAGGATTCCAGGGGTTCCCAACAAGATGCCATAAAGTTTTATAACAGTTTTACTTCACTCAGTAGCATGAATCTGAGTGAAGGTGTGTAGAGTGCAAGGATGACCACTCTGATCAGGTCTCTTCCCCCTCACCTACAGGACAGTCAGGTGGTCTGTCAGTGGGGGATCGATATGAAAAAATCTGGATTATGCTTCTTCCACTAGGTCTTTCATATCTGATATTACAGGGCTGATACATTTATAGTCAGTGGGAACCTTTAAGATGATCAGTCAGGCTCTCAGCTCCATAAACCTTGAAATAAGCCACCAGGAGCAGCTCTGTGTCCTCTGTCGAAACCACTCTAATGACCAGTACTTATTACCCAACCTTTTTGGTTGTGACCCTTTAAAGAGAAGCAGTGACCACTTAGAGACACAAGCACTTTCACGAATTCTCAGACTGTTTCTTCTGAATAGAGGCCTTCCTCTACAGTATTTCATCATAAAAAGCAACAATTTAAGCATTTGTGTACTAGAACTTTGTTTTCTCATTAATCATCTTGTGACCCCTGTAGCTTACGAACTCTTTGGGGGGTCCCAACACCCAAGTTGTGAACCACTGTATCAGATAGTTTCAGTCATAGTCGCTGTCAGTCATAGTCTCTCTTATTTATGGGACCATCTGTATTTGTATTTCATATTTGTGACTCTGGTTCCTCTATCTGGACATTAACTTGAGTACTGAAGTCTGAAAGTCATGTGACGGCTAACTTTGGTCAATATTTCTTTAGAGTTTGTGTGACCTGTTGACCCTCTTGTATCCCTAATGTGTGAACATTAACAGGCTCAAATAGAAAAACTGGAAATTGAGTTAAGTATCAAACTAAAGTTGCAGAGAATGCTATTAAGTTTATTAATATCAGCCTCAAAATGAATGTAAATGAATGATTGCTTGAAGCTAAAAATACATCAACATCTGGAAGCCAGTGTCCTGCTTGATGTATTCATGTTCAGTTCACCGTGTGTGTGGATGTGGTAGCAATACAAACAGTAAAAAACCGATCCTGTTCATTTGGTTCTGTTTATGTAGCCTCAGTATCCATCCGTGACCAGCCGCTGGCGACCTTATTGGTAACAATACTGTTCACTATCAGCCTCAACCAGTTCCTGTTCAGATCTCACATGAACCAGCAAGCCCAGTCAACACGACTGTGGAAGTCCACAGGTTCACTCTTAAACTTTTCTTTTCAAGTTTTATTTCTTTAAAAGCATAAATAGCTCTCTGAATTACAAACAATGTACTTGTATAAGCAAAAATTGCACAAATATACAGTAAATTTGCAACAATATGTGAAACAATTGTACATTAAATGAACCAAATTGTCAGTGCCCCCCAAGGCAAATATTAGTACTTGTTTAGCTTGGGACAGTCCAACGAAAATAACATGATTCTGCAGAATATATTCCATGGAAACTAAGATTTATGATAATTGATGCACTTTCTGCTCTTTTGAAGGACAAATACATTTTAATGACACGTCCTGCAGTCATTTGTGTGTCACACATAACAAGACTGATTTGATTGAAAATCATTTCCAGGGTCACTCCCAGTTTCAAAAGTCTTAAGAACATGCCTGCGCAGGTCGGGGTGGCTTTTAAAGTGTCTGAGGGAGGCCTCAGAAATGCAGCACTGCATCCTGGGAGTTGCTTGACATCGGTTTGCTGAGGCCTGAAACAGAAAAGGAGAGAGATCCTCTAATCCTCTGGAGATTCAGATTAGTAAAGACTCCTGCTTTGTGGTTTCCCTTTTACAGATCAGTCCTGATAGGGGCTGCTCCTGCTTGTGTTTCTAATCCCGTCTATGGGCTCATGTGTGTGGAAAAAAATCAAACCTTTCCATCAGAGAAAAAAGGTTTTTTGAGCGGTATGAGAACATGTCTGGTAGCAGGATGAGGGGAGGCATACGTGTGCTTGTTTTTTTCTCTTTCCAAATCTATTTTTGTGTTGTTTTTGTGTGCCACCTAAGAACAATCCTCAAGTTCTATTTTGAGGTGCAGGGGCTTGTTAGCGCGGCTGCAGGCCATTGCATAAGTGTTTGATGAGCTCTCACTTCTAAATTAAAAGTGGGTAAACATCCAGATGGCCTGTCTGTTTTCAGACTTGGTTCAAATTTATGCAGATGCAGGATAATTAATCTTACACTTGGATCTCTTAACATGTGAATAGATTTACAAGACGGACTAAGTGCATGAAAAATAGTGTGGTTATGTAATCTTGAATATTTCAGAGCTGGATAAGGTTATGTACACGTCCAGTTCAAGGAGGTGGCTCAACTGTCGCTGGATTATCCAGGAGGACAGGCAGGAGACAGATCTCATGACCTTTTCTAAATCTGCCTCACTGTGTGATACTGATGCTCTCACATTAACGTCCTTGCAAACGCAGGATGTTAAAGTCGGGTGCATCTCTTCACCGAACAGCCAGCATTCGGAAGAGTGTGTTTGAGTTGGCGTTTTCTCTCCGCAGCTCTGCATTGTGCATTGTACATTGTGTGGGTTGCTCAGCTGCAGACTATTTTTCCTGGGCAGAAATGTGCTCTCAGGGGGGTTCATGCTTTATGTGCATACTGCGGGATCCGCTGCCTGAAGGTGACCTATCCTCCATTCACGAGTGTTTGCTTTGCAGAAGTTGCCAGAACGCAACCGTGGAGAAATACCTGGGATGCTCTCCGTGCCGGAGCAGCAGGGGACAATCGCATTCTCGCTCAGTGTTTCCAGGTCGTGAAGTGCCAGCAGCAGAAAATCAACGGCCTGAATATGAACCTTTTTTTTTCTTTTTTTTTTTCAGTCTTGCGTGGCAAAACTAACAGCTGTGCAAGTCCAGTCCCACCATCCAGAGAGTGTGTGGTGATGATTGTAGGCTGTAGGTAAGACGAGCTTCACACGGCGATCTGCTGTACCCTTGGCCTGTTCTTGCTCGTCCCCTGTAGCGGCATGTGCACTTCACAGCGGCCAAACCGCAGCATGTGACAGCCTCCCCTGTGTAATGTGAGAGGTGCCGGAGTTGTGGTCGGGGTGCCATTTGATTCAGATTGGACGGCATTTGGAGAAAGAAAACATTCAGTCGCTACCTGAACGTCGCAGTGTACGATAGGATCTGTGTTTCTGATTGGTGCGGCTCTGTTTATCTCCTTATAGTTATGGAGAGGTCAAAGGTCAATACACAAACACACCTGCAAGGTTCAAACAGTTAGTTTGCCCCCCCCCCTCCCTATACAAACACTGTGTCACCAGCAGCCTATCTGAGGTAAACTTGTTGTATTGTACGCTGCTTGAAACTTAGATTACAAATTAATCCCATGAAAATGAATTGAGTAACATTCATATGATTCCTATAAGAACTTAAGTATGTGTTTGTGGTTCTCAATATTATTGTATTGGAGCTTCACGTATTGTTCACTCAATTATTCATACAGGAACGTATTAGAGCTGAAACAATTAGTTGATTAATAAAATACTGAATGGAAAGAAAATTGATTTGCAATTTTTATGAGAATGAATAATCGTTTAGTTGATTTTGAAGAAATAATAAACTACACATTTTTTTTTTTTTTTTAACTTTTGGTCAAATAAAGCAAGTAAATCTGAAGATTTCACTTTGGGCTTGAGGTTATTGTGATGGACATTTTTGTCTATTTTTTGACATTTAATGGACCAAACTATTAATCAATTGATAGAGAAAATAATCTGCATATTATGAACAACGTGATTATCTGCAGCCCTAGAACATATGATACAATTAAACTACAGCCATGGAGGAAATCTGAAGTGTCCAAAAGTATTTTATGCATCAGAAATCATCTGTGTGTGTGTGTGTGTGTGTGTGTGTGTGTGTGTGTGTGTGTGTGTGTGTGTGTGTGTGTGTGTGTGTGTGTGGGCTGAACAGAGTCGAACAGCTCTGATGACTCGAGGGTTTATGGAAGTGAGGATGGCCACGATCAGATGTGGTAGAGAGAGGCCATCACACACGCTTGATCATTTGAACCCATAAAAATCTGAATTAACAAGAACCAAGAGGGAATGCGACAAGGGCATGACATGTGTCTGTGATTAGAGGTCGTTCAGTTAACTCTGGCTGAAGTCCCCGTGAGACCTCTGACCTCCCTGTAGCAGAAACTGAATCCATGAGTATCACCTGGTTATCATTTTCAAACAGCATCATCTCCACTCAGCCTGACTACCAGCTGCTCCAGAGACAAACTTCTTGCAAGTGAATTCCCATTTCATTAACTACTGTCGGCCCTGACATCTGTGAGCCTATTTTCAGTCCACACACACACACACACACACACACACACACACACACACACACACACACACACACACACACACACACACACACACACACACAAACACAGGCTGTGTCTGGGTCACATATCTCAAGCCAGCCTGAGCTGCAGTGAAAGCTGGTGAGAAAGAGACTTCCCACCAACACTTCATTTGGCTGGACCCACACACTGCAATTATCGGAATTAAAATGGAAGTGTGGCCCTGACTGCTGCGCTCTCCTGTCTAATTGTTGTTGTAGTAATAGTCGTGCCATCGACGAGGCGAGTTCTCACGAGGGAGGATGGCGAGTCTGTGTTTTTAATTTGGCTCTGCTGAAACCCCCCCGACCATGCTGGGATTTTTTTTTTTTTTTTTTTTTACAGCACTACCTTGAATGGACACGTTGGCAGGCTGGTTACAAACAGTTCAGCAGGTGATTGATGTTTGTGTGAGATTGTGACTCTTGTGTGTCTCCTGCACAGCTGCCCTACCTGCTGCTGAACTCCACAGGAACAGACCCAAAGACTCGCATGTACCCCGTGTTCTTCGGAGAAAGCATCGAGGTCAACCCCAAACCAGAGCAGGAAATCAAGTAAGGGAACCCCCTGAGACACAGTAGTCAATATAGAGCTTTGTTCACTAGTGTAGATCAATATTGTCTTTTCAACACTGCCACCTAGTGATCAGTTTTAAATGTGTTTCTAAAGAGTCATTTTCTCCTTTCCAGGTGCAACTCCGAGGTCAAGTATGACTCTGACAAGCATTACAGGGACCGAGTTTACTGCGCCCCCGTTCCCACGGCCACCTCCTTCAGCGAGACAGTGGTGGCGGTGCGGAACTGCACTTGGAGGAGCTACAAGTCCCAGGTGTACCTGGAGCCACGGCAGAGGCCCATCAGCTACCAGAGCACCACCATCATCTACCCGAAACACGCCAAGAACACTTACCGCACCACGCTCAACTACAACGCCACAGGCTCCCGCCGCTGGTTTGTCTCCACGGTGCAGCTGGAGTCGAGTGAGGATACTAGTCCCTGTATCATCTACACAGAGGACCTGTAGAGCCCGGACCGGGCCAGCCCGCACAGGGAGAGGGCGACCGGGTGGTTTTTTTTTTTTCTTTTCTTTTTTTCGGAGGAAGAGGAACTTGGGAAGGCAAATATTGAAAGGGAAATACTTCAAGTAATACCTGGAGCAACTAAAAACCCTGCTCTGTTCATCTTTACTCGCCATGGAGGAAACTCTGGGAAACCCTTTAGTGACATTTCACCTGAGTGTATTTAGACTTTCTACTGATGCAGTCTTTAAAAAGGGAGGGTTGGTCCTCTGGCAGTCTAAAGCTGCACTTCAATGGTTAATGTCTTATTTAATACCAGAGCTGACAAATTGGTGGCCTTTGCTGTCCTTCAGGTTGGATTGTAACCTCAGTGGAGGTAACGATCAGATTGTAGATGTCTGTGTATGTAGAGAAAAGTCAGGATGACGTGTCGTGGGAGCTCGCGCAAACCCAGTCACACCAATGCAAAGCTTTCTAATATGGCTTTATTGCACTTGTTTTCTATATATCACAGTTCTCTGAGTGGGCTTGGCATCGCAGGGGGAGAATTTCAGTACTGCATTTGAAAAATTGGACCAAAGACAGTTTATCTCTTTGTAATAACTCCACACAATGAGGCAGAACGCTTTTGTTTTGTTAGAGTTAAGACTGAAGTCTAATCAAAACAAGGATCACAGCACAGTAACAAAAGAATATTTGAAAAGGGAGATATTTAAAGCCTCTGAAAACATGGTTTAAAATCTAAAAACAGTACTTTTCAACCCGGTTGGATCACTGCAGTTTAGGTTTTTAACGCCTGTTAAACTCAACTTAATTTCAATACTTTAGTTTAAGATAATGATAATGTTAAGGGTGTTTTGGTAAACAGGTTCTTGTTTGGTCTCTAGGAGGTGCTGAGGGGCTGCAGAGCAACATTCAACAATTTAGATTGACAACACACACGGCCTTTGAGAACAGTGGCAATCGTTGCATAGTTTACTTTCTGTTTTTAACCTGCTTTTGCCAAAGAAAAAAAAGTAAACAAGCAGAGGGAAGTGACACTTCTCTGTCACAACTCTTGGTACGGAACAAACTGTACTGATGCAGTGGCGCTCACCTGTCGGCTTCTCCAAGAGAGTCAAACACAAAAACAAGAAGTGTTTCCAGCTGCAGCCTGTCAGTACCTGGACGCTTCAAGTGCGATCGACGTATCACTGTTTCAGCTGCTGCACCAGCTACTCATAAATGCATCACTTAGAAAGTAACCAGTCATTAACTTCAAACCGGTGATTTGCTGAATCATATCGCACCATTGAAACTTAGCTGGTAAAGTCACTGCAGCATCACAACTTTAATAATAATTTGCAAATGTGGGTCAAATGTTGGCAGGCTTAGCATTAGCTTTGTCCGTCGGTTCAGTTAGCTATGTAACAGTTGGCAGTTACTGGGCATACGTGTCTATTAACAACCAGTCCCTACATAAGAACTATGTGATGCAATTTACACATCACCTTTTGTGTATGTGTAAATCTCCACTAAGTGAGCACTTGTGTTATAACTAGGTGTGAGTTTACGAGTAGCTGACGCAGCCGGGCGTTTCAAGTTTTCACATGTCAACAAATTGTCAGTGAAGGTTGTTCAAAAGCATGAAACTCTTCTGTTATCACCAACATGTAAAAAGTCGAGCAGGGAAACCACATTAGATTTCCCTGTTGAAAATGTAAGATAGATTTTTATAGAGCGTTTTCATGACTTCTTTATGTGTCATATATATATATATATATACATATATACATATATATATATATATATATATATTTAGATACTGAACACAGCAAATATTGAAACTTCAGACTTTACCTCAAATTTTCTTAGGTATCTGTTTTTATTCATTGCAAATGTGTATTCCCGATTTTCAGTTGAGGTCTTGAGCTTGTGATCTTGTTTTATTTTGTAGTTTGAAATACCCTATGTGTAGAGTGGAGAGGACGCGGAGGGCGCGAAGATGAGGCGGTGCATCAGTACTGTGGGATAGGTACTGGGCTTTAATGAGGGAACAGTAAGTAGCAAGACAACAGGAGAAAAGTCAGATCTGCTCCTTCAAAAGAAAAAATATAGAAGAGATGACTTTTTATACAGAACAGTGAAGTCCCTGGTAAGATGGTGGAGAGTTTTGCTATGTGTTGATGGTCTGTGAAATGTCAGAGACTGATGAGAGAAAGTCGGTGGGTGTCAAGTTAAACACGTTGTTGGTTTTCTGTGAGATACTTTTGTGTTTCCTAACACTTGATTTTGTTACTGTAATATATTTTCCTGTTGTATATGTGGCATCGAGGCACTTCATAATTCTCTTTATATTTTTGTACGTCAATCATTGTTCCTGTTCTGATCAAGGAAAATAATTTAAAAAGATGTATATCCTAAATGAATAAAAAAAAAAAAGAAATTCCCAAACCCTAATTCTGTTGTTTTGAGTGCATTTGTTACTTGATTTTGATCACAGGATGTTGTATTTCCCTGCTTACTACAGGTTTAATTTTGGCCCTCTGAAAGAAAGAGGAAGTTCTCCAGACACACAGTGGGACGGGTCACACAGTTAATATGGTGCGGCATCCTGTTGAAAACCCTCAGACAATAATAATAATATCCCTTGTAAAAATAGAATCAAGGCATGTTCATTAAGCAGAATTTCAGAACAAAAACAAAATCAATCTATCAATCAGGCCGTAAGTATTTGGAGAGTTATATTTTTTTATTCTTCTTCAGGCCCTCTGCCTCAGCGCATTCACTGCTTCACATTGAAATAAAATAATAGATACCACAGTGCCTCAGGATCTCCACAGCAGCTCACATCATGCAGTCTCCAGTGTTGGATAAGACTGATGTGAAACAGCAAACTGGACCTGACCACAGAGATATTTTGGTTCCTGGTGAAAGTCGGTATTTATGAAACAACTGACTGGATGAAATTGCTCTTTTCCAGATCATATGATACATCATGTTGAAGTTATAAAAGCTTCAACTTGATATATCAGTGCACAAAGTATTCTTTTAAAAATCCCCAATATGGTCAATAAAGGACTGAATATTAAGTCAGCAACTTTCTTATCCATAAATCAAGGGATGTAAAGTTGTGCTCAGGGACGGAGACGGTGGGGATCCATGAAAACTGTTTTCCTCCTGTGCAGAAAAGCCCCTGCAACATAAATAATGTTTTATCTGATGTCCTCAGAGATGGTTTACTTGCCCAAATTTGCTCTTCATCTCTCAGCAGTCTCCATATATACTCCACAGCAAATACAGAACACAATTAAAATACCTCATCAGAAACTTAAAGGTACACTGAGGACTTTGTGGGCCACTTGTGGTGGAGCAACATTTTTATCAGCGGGTCGCAGTTGCACAAACAATGAACAGATTCTAAATATTACAAAAAAAAAAACACATTGGCACCTTGAAGTTTACATGAAAGTCTGGAGCAGCGGTGGGAGGGCTATTCAGGTTCTTTACTCGAGTGAAAGCAGCAACATCACACTGTGACAATACTCAGTTAAAAGTCATTAATTGAAAGTATTACTCAAGTGAAAGTACATAAGCAAGAGGAAAATGTGTTTTAAGTATGAAAAGCAAAGGTATTCTGGAAATTTCCCTCTTCCCTCTCTGAGAGTACTGTATGGTTTATAATATTATACAATCATACACTGATGCATTAATGTGTAAACTCATTTTAACAAATCTATATACTAGAGGGTAGTGTAATCTATTCCCATGCATTAGATTTTTTAGGATAATCATTTTTTATATGCAAATCTTAAACTGAAAAGTAACAAGTAAGTTGTCAAAAATGTAGCAGTTGTAACTGGAAGCAGCGTATTTTTCAAAGGTCTTACATGTTGTAAATGGAGGAGGGAAGACAAATTAGAGTCATATTTCACTCTTCACACGTCTAAGTAGGCCTACTTAATTTCATAACATCGTATCCTTGTAGGGCTCATGGGAGTTATGTAAGGAGGGGATCATAACGGAGACGCAGTGTGACCTTCATACGAGCTGAATGATAGCACAGCAGATCACAGGAGACCAGATCAGTAGCAGCTGAACAGCACCTTAGTTCAACAACCGCAGCAGACTCGGCTCATCATCACGATCAGCTTAACTACGACATTAACGCGGGTCAGGGCTGGATCTGATCTTATTTTGTTCAATTTATGCAAAATTAATAAATGCAGTGATTGAGCATCTCTCCCTGAATTCTTTGGGTCAAACGTAGTCAATGTATAACTGTAAAAAAAAAATGCTTATACCGCCCCCTGGTGGTACTTTACCTTCATTACTTTGGGTCTGTCAAACAACCAACACAAACACATACCAATAAATGACGTGACTCTGAGACCATGAATGGCAATAAGCTTTTTATTTAAACATTAAGGCAGTGTCTTTTTTGTTTTTCATTTTTACACTGCTATCCACAAAGCTTGCTGGTGGGCATGTAGAATTTAACCATGTGAATATTTTTTTTTTTTTTTTTTTTTTTGCAATACCAACCTTGAAGCAAGCCACATAAATATTTACATCTCTTCAGTTTTATATACAATCCTTGCTATTATACAGTGGGTTATAATAAAAAAAAAAAAAAAAAATCATTATGCACAAAAATTGTTGAACAATGTACTGTTTATGTCAATCCCCCCACCCACCCTTGGACAGTCCAGGGAACACATCAAGATATCAACTTTGTCGTTTTCGGTTTGAATGATTATTTTTTGATTTATAATGAAACAGGTGTGTATTGAACACAGAAACTTTAAGGACAACAACAAAATGGATGCATGTTAAAACTGATTTCATTATATACTTTTAAAAACAACCTATTAGTCTGTCATCAGTTCAGGGAACAGCTGGATATGGCTTAGTCTGTTTACCGTCACATTCTTAAATTTCATCAGTGGATAAATGACAAACACGCAGAGAGACCGATGTACAGAGCCTGGCTGTATTTTTGCTTCGCCTGATGAAATTACAAACCCTCCATCAGTCTGGATAGGAAAAACAAACTCAGAGCTAAAACATGGCTGAGATGATCCTCTGCAGGTAAGTAGAATGATGGAGGGAGAGGAGGTAGTCCTATAACAGTCATGTTTGTGTTGTGACAATCCCCTGTGAGAAAAACAACTAGAGATAGAGGTGAGTCTTCCTGAAACTACTAAATAAGCTCACTGCCATCGCTTCAGAGTGTTCAGTCAGGGGACAGAAACCGTCGCTGGTTTCCACAAAGTCACAAGGGGAAACATTTCACATCATTTACAGAAAGGGCGACCTTTAAAAAAATACTGCAAGTAAAATGTGAAAACATGTCAACTAATGTTACAAAAAAAACTACCAGAATGCTTTCGAATGCCTTTCCCCTCGACTTCCTCTGACCCGTACGAACACAGGATGTGCAATGAAGTACACTTGAAGTATGTCATGGGTCTCATAGAGTGGAGAAAACATCTGATGCAGGCCCAGGTAAGCTGTCCTGTGATACAGCATTGTCGTGTTTAGATGATAAATCTAATGAGTGAAACAGTTAAAAGCTAAGGCTGTGATGGGTTTGGAAGAAGAAATAATAAATGCAACACACAAAAAAACAAAAAATTAAAAAAAGGACGTTCCATTTGCTTTTTTGATTTCAGATTTCCCTGCATGGACAGTATAAACCCTGGCATGGGGGGGCTAAAAGAAAAATTGTGCGTCACTTGGTAACTTCAGTACTGTATATGTAAAATAAATGGCACTTAACACTAGGAATATCTCATAACTGTACAAAATCTGCCTGGATGAGGAGTTGAGTCTCAGGTCCACCACTAGGCAGTAAAAGGTCAGAGGTCAGACCGTCACAACAGCTCCTAGACGGGATTCTAGCGGGCCGGCTGAAGCTGCCGCCGCCATGGACCAAGAGGTCATAGAAAGATGGCTTTATTTTTTTATTTTTTGTCACCTCTTCAATGCGAGCAAACTCCAAGTGATGCTGAGGAATTTGCCTTTAAGCAGCTTTAAGGTCGGTCCGCACCTGCTCGAAGCGGCTGATTCGTCGTTCACTGAAATGTGATTGTCGCTTTGAGTGTGGGAGCGCTAAAGAATATCGGTGGCAAGACCAAAATAAACAGGTAGGTGTTAAAGGATACCTCCACAGTGGGATTTCTATGCTGTTCTTGAGTCCATTTTTTTTTTTACCTCCCCCAGGAAACACAGATTCTTAAAAATGCCATTGTGAACAGACTGACAACTAAGTGCTTAATATCCAAAAAACGGTTTCAACAAACACAGACATGGTTAATATAAAAACAGTGAGAAAGTGTCACTTGTCTCAGTGCCGTCCATCTGGCAAAGCATCTCTCCCCACGTGGATGCCTGATGTCAGCCGGCCTTCGCCGCTCTCCTGACCCTCCCAAATATATGATGACATCAGCGATGAACAGCATGTTTACCCTGTAAACCAATGATATGACCCTCCCACATAACAATCTCTGCCCCCCGCCCCCAGAAAAGATACATCATTGCAGATAAGAGACAACAAATGACACCATCAAAAGTTCACCATCAAAATGTACTAAAGGTCTCAGCTCACGTTCCAAACACAGGACTGGACTGAATTCAAAGGAGAAAAAGAAAGAACCAAAACAAGAAAAACAGGATGTTGATCCTCCTCCCGTCCTCTCACAAGTGTTCTTGTAGTGGTAGCAGTGCACAGGTCGCCTGCACCTGGAGTTCACCATGAAGAAACGTGAGGGGGTCTTCGCTGTGTGGGCTGCTGCTTTCAGGTCAGATCTGCAGTGAAAATCTGTCTCTAGAACAGCCGTCATCGGGCTCCTGACCAGACCAACGACACGACCTCAGAGTCCCTTCCACACAAGTGTCAGCACATTAGAGCGGTACACCCAAAAGGTGCAGGTCCATGTGTCTATATTGATAAGGCCAGTGAGGAAAAGTAGTAAAGTTCAAATAAAAAAACGAAAAGAAAAACAAAGTGATTTGTCCTTTAGAGTAGTCCTGGAGTGAATGCATAACACCTAAGCGCAAACAGACACACACGGAGCAGCAGTGTTCCAGCTCGTCGGTGCTTGGTGTCTCAGGTGTGTGAAAAGGTGACACGATCCTTGCTTGAGGACTGATGGAGGAAAATGCAGAGTGGAATGGTGTGGGTAGGTTTGCAGGTGCCTCAGCAGGTGTGTGTATATGTGTGTGTGAGTGTGTGTTTGCGTGGCTGCAGCAGCACAGAGGTGGTTTGACTGTTAGCGGGGTCCTGTTGTGCGGTGGCGTTTCCGGTCACTCGCTGTCAGACAGGGTCTCGTACTGAGACATGAGCAGAGGCTTGGGCTCCTCCTCCCAGGAGCGGCCCTGTCCAGGTCCTGACCCTGGGCCCTGGCCCCCCGGCTGGCCGGAGGAGGGGGAGGGAGCGGATACAGTCCCGCTGGGGAAACGCATTATCAACGGGTTACACGGGAAGGGAGTTGGAGCTGAACCTGCAAAAAAAGGAGAGAGACAGAATTGGTGATGTGTTTAAAGTATTTTCTCCTTTTCCAGAGAACCACTACAGCAGGTGACTGCATCAATAAATCAGATACAAAAAAAAAAAGAGGTTGTCTACCTGTGGATGATGGCCGGTCCTCCCACACACGATTGGTAAGGGGAGTCCGTCTGTTGCAGTCTCCCTCAGAGTGGACAGAGGACACAGAGGATGGTCTCTCCCCCCCTGACAGACCTGGTCCTGGGGACTTGGCTTTGCGCCCATTAGAGCGTCCACTGCTCTTTGAGGACTTTCCCCCACCTACAAACAGAGGAGGCAGAAGTCTGGTTTTTAAGCTATGGTGCAACACGCTCCTGTGAAAAAACACATCCAGCTCTGTTTGCAGCTCCTCCTCCTCCTCCAGCAGTTGAGGAGGTGTGTTTACGTGGGTATTGGAAATGAAAACACATCCGCACATAACTCAGTCCTTCACTATCTCTCTTGAAATAAGAAACACACTGTTGAAAGACTTTAAGCAAAAGAATTACCGTTAAGAGGGAAGAAAAAATGCACTTATTCATCTACTTGCCAAGAGTCAGATGAGAAGATCAATAAAACTCTCATATTTGTCTGTGTGAAGCTACAGCCAGGAGGCCGTAAGTTTATTTTACCATAAAGACTATGAAGACACCAGCTTGGCAACAGAAAAGAAGTCAACAAGATAAAATATAAAAGAGTTTGAGGATGTCGCACCTTGTGAGAAACAGTCCTCACCACGTCCGTCGGCTACAGACATACCAGCAGACACGCTGGGACCCATCGGGTTAGTGGCGTTGGATGGAGAGCGCTCCTCAGACTGATCATCGTATTTGCCCATTAAGGCCTTTCTTATAATGGCCTCCAGGCCTATTGAGTTACCAGGGGCCTCTGGAGTAGGGTGGCTGCGGACACTCACAGGTCCTGTGTGGAAGGAGGGAGTGTTAAACAAGTTAGAGGGAGAGAGGGACAGTAAGTACAGAGAGTGCTATTGTAAGCAGGGAAAATGGGCATGAAGCTAAAGCTACAGCAAAAAGAGGAAGAAGAAGAGAGAGTGGCGATCCACAGCATGAAGTCGTATCAGAAGGAAAGTGAGACATGAAGAGATAAAACAGGCCAACAGTGGAAGGACAGTGTGGTGATTCAGTATTGTTGGAAGAGTAGAGAGCACAACCTTAAAGAGGTTTGAAAAAATAGGAGAGAAGAACAGACACACAGCTTCAGTCATTGCATTTGCTCATGGAAAAAAGATTTTAATCTCAATGACACTGCCTGACTAAATAAAGATTAAATAAAAAATGTATACAAATTTGTGCTACATTCATATGTGGCCATTAAATACTGTAGGTCAATACTGTGGGAGAGCAGTGCCTCAGGCCGTCCAGAGGGTGGGGTTGAGAAAAGGATGATTTTCTCCAAACATCTTATTTCATAAATGCATTTTTACTGCCTGTGTCATGTGGTAACACAGGTCAAGTTAATTTCCTGTGTAAACGCCACCTTACGACCTTTGTAATATTTCTGTAAACGGCACCTTTCACCACAGCTCTAGCCTGAGAACATGCAGCTGTGGCTGATGCCTGGGCTCTGAAAACCTTGGCCTTGGATATCAATATGTTCAAATATAAAACAAACTCTTGTAAGCTGCTCCATCTTGCAGAGTCATCCTTAACTTAACAGACCTCAAGTTGCATTATGCATACTGTTTCCATATTTACCCACTTTGCTAACATGCCATAATGGAGGAGGTGGAAATAGAGGAGATTACCTGCAGTTGTAGACGCCGGCATATTGAAGATCTCTGTCCCTGGCTGACCAGCATCTGAGAGTGTGAACAAGGTTTCTTTTTAAAAGTCCATTCTCTTCATTAAATCACATGCAATCACAAGTCTGTGCTGAGGTCAGACTTACTGAAATCACCGTCGTTCCCCACCACAGTCATCTTCTTGATCATCTCCTGTTTCTTTGACTTCACGATAGCCGAGGTGTTCTCCGTCAGCTTGCTGAAGAACGCCGGAGGCTGGGAGGCATTGGGAGGGGAACGGGGAGCCCATTCTGTAAGAGGAAAAGAAAACACAAGTACACACACACACACACACACACACACAAACCAGCACTCATATGATACTCCCATTTTTCTGTGCTTTTAAATTCAATAGTTGGCATGTCTAAGCATCATCTGAAAGCCAATTCCAAACACTTAATTTCTACTGAAATTATTTGTAGAGTAACAACAATGATTCAAACAAATGTTATAATCAAATTATCAATCATCCATCCATTTACAGCAGGCTGAACAGAGAAGCTCATACATTTATGAAAAATAATATTTCTCAAAACACATCAAAAACAAAAAGGATCTCCTTCTGGAGAGCGACATGTAAAATTGTTACACTTTATATATATTTTGAGTTGAAGTGCGCCTTATGGTTCAAGGCATGTGGCTTACATTATTATGTTATTAACACAACGGAATATAAAGCACCTGGCAGCTGCAGTGGTGCAGCCCGTTGAATAACAACTAAAAGAGCAGACTTTGTTCAGTTTGTTCAAATACTGTAATTAGCAATCGACTCAATATTTAACTAGGAATAAGATCCTTAACTGCGGTCGTGCTAATCTAAATATTGTATGAGCTGAATATATACACCACATAGTTTGATTATATTTGACTTTCATGCAACTGCACCCACTTAAGTTAACACCAGCAATAAAACATATTTGCAGTGAGCTCTTTCTGAGGAAATCCACAGCAGCGTGAGCCATTACCCTTGCTCTCCCTGCTCGTTGGGGTAGGAGGCCCCTCCCTGGACTTCAGGTTCAGAGCTGGCTCCAGCAGGAGACACTGGTTCGATGCCGTCATTTGAAACACTGACAGGTGATGCCTTGGGCTGAGGAGGAGACCTGGGGAGAATACAAAGACAGATATATACAGCATGGTTAACATCAGACCAAATCAATGAATCCTTGTTTAAGTTATCTGCATCAAAGGGTGAAGGCACATGCAGTAAGACAGTGGCCACTCAATGCTTTCAACCTTTATTTCTCTTGTTTCAAAGTGATCCCGTTTGACAGTAATTCTTACCGATCTCTGTTGCGTTCTCCGCCGAGGCTCTCCGGATAGCGGGACCCTTGGCCTGACTCCTGTGAGGTGGGCGGGGGCTGGGAGGCACTGGGTGGACGGGTCAAGTCCAGGACAGGAGAGCCGTGGTAGCTTTGCTGCTGGCTCTGCCTAGTGTAGTCTTTAGTTATCACCTCCTGTTTACGGAAAGACATATACACGCCATGAGACATGAAAATACCTGTTCTGTTCAGCACTTAGGAAACATACATAGTAATACATACATATAAAGATGAGATTGTGCTATTTTTTTTTGCAGTTGTAATGCAGTGGTTGAGAAGTCTTACACTGATGTGCTGTGCCAGGGTGACCACCCTCTGGCTGCCTTTAACACAGGGGGACGGGGGCTGTTGGCCTGGAGACAGTCTCTCCTCAGAGGGAGGACGGTACAGACCGTGTGGCTCCATCTTCTGTTGAGCTGAGAGTCAAATTCAGAGAACAGACACACATGCACACCCATGCACACACACAAACACACACAGAGGCAAAAAATCACATACACACATGAATAAAAGTTAGTTTTGTTTTTTAGTTCATGGTGACACAATTCAAGATCTCTAAAATTGTCCTACTGAAAACATGCGCGGTTCAGAAATGTCCGTCCATCCATCAGGACTTATGGTGGATGTGCAGTTTAAACATTTCATGTAGCACCTGCACGAGGGCTGAAAGGGCAAGCTTTGCTATAAAAACACTACATGAACATGTGTGTGACAAGCTCCCTCACATCTCTTAACTATTTATAGAGTACTCTTTGCATACAGACCTAGCGAGCCTGGCTCTGACCAGAAACGATACTAAAATTGACTGGTTTTGCATCAGTGATTCATAAATGAAGAAGTCACAGTCACTTATTAACTGAAAAAGAAAAGACAACTTTTAACTAAAAAATAAAATCCTCATGTACTGCCTCAGCGACAAAGAGAAAACAAATGTGTTTACTGTATACTATGAATACAAGTACAAAACTTAACTCAAGACAGGCCCGTCTATGGTTAGCCATAAATTTATGAAATTATTGTTTAACCATTGTGGGACTACAGCTTTCCGCTTGCATGCTCTAGAGAGCACTAATGAGCCTATTTCAAGACTGTTTTTCCCTTGTGCGTCATGTCTCACTATGTGTTTTCTTACACAACTCTTGCACTACAGTATTTATCTCAGGAAAGGATGATGTAAGTTGAGCATCGGAGGGAGGGGAGGGGGCAGGACTGTACAGACTCCCAGAGAGGACGAGTCCCCCGGAGGGACAGGAAGCTGTGATTTTTGTTGTTAGCTAGCAACGACAGAAGAGACTCTGGGTTCATTTCAACAGCAGCCTACTACAGTGTTTCTCTCTGTAGTCCTGTGTATGAGTCTGTGAATGTGTGCCAACAGCAAGGTGATGATGTCCTATCTGTCAGAGTCTTGTCTGTTTGGAGAAGCATGCTTCCTGATGCCTACTGTATATACAGGACTATATTAACACACATTTGAACTCAGCATGCAGTTGTCACTTGCCCTGCAGTATTGTATAAATACAGAGGTGACACACTGTTCTACGAAGCAGAAAACAACAAAAAACAACAACAACAGCAAACAAATTCACATTCCAAACTCTCAGAGGCTTGATTGAGAGAGATGTGTTGAGTGTTGGGTGTGTGTTGGAAAAATAATTAAATTCAAAAGAAAAAAAAAAATTAGCATAAATTACAGTGAGCCATAAATAGAAACATGCAGAGATTTCGAGGGCCAGAACCTGTAGTACCCCCCTCCCCCTGGATGGCTGAAAGTCTCCCCAGTCTTTCCCATGTGCGTCCCCTTTCAACACCGTCCTTCTGTGTAGCACTGGTGCTCTCTGGGACCCCAGGGGGTCAGTTTGGTGGTTGGTAAGGCTTTCAATGACCTTTAATGAAAGGGACTCTCACACCTACTTTGTTCCCCTTTAGTCATGTGGGTTATATGCGGTCATTGTGCCCCAGCACAATGTGTTTCGAATAGGTCTGTGAGCATCTACATGAAGGAGTGCCTCATAAGACATGCAGCAGTGAATTAGAGCCACTGCATGTGTAAAGTCAGAGTGCTTGAATTACAAGCGGTCTCATTTAAAACAGGATATAAAAGCCTCCTGTGGTGCAATGCCTTTTCAAGTGTCTAAAATATTCTTTTCATGCCCACTTGCATGTGGTGAAATATTCCGTTTAAAGTAAGCAGCCGAAAGGGAGGGAGGAGGGGTGCCACGTTAAATTCAAGTCACATCATCTACGAAAAGAAAATTAAAAATAAGCAGCAAAGGATGTTCCGCCTTAATGTCCCACCAGCTTTAACTACCTCAAATGACGCCTTAAAGGACACCTAGGATCTTCTTCATGGAAAATTAAATGTGTCGAGTTGTTGTTATTAATATTTCATCAATGCTCTATCAAGCTTATAAACTGCCTCTTCATATTTCATTTCAGCCAGTCAGGTCCAATTTGGACAGGCTACAAGTTTGGTTTTCCAGAGGTCACCCTTGGTGGTCTTTAAGTCTGTAAAGAAACTAATAATAAAACTGGAACAAAGCAAAAAATTATAGCATTGAAAGAAAAAAATGTAAATGAATTGGGCTGATTTGATAATGCCAACCACCACAGCGTGCAATAGGCCACAGACTGACGGGGAGGGTCTGGGTGATGAGGGGGACCCTGGGATCCAGAGCGTCTTACCATCAGTGGCGCTGCTGGCAACAAGCGAGCCCGTCTCTGGCATCCCCGTTTCACAAGAAATTTGACGCATTATAATCGCGTTTATGAAGTTGGCCGCAGTCATGGTGGTCTTACCGAGTGCTCGGAGCTCTTGTTCCTGAATGGACATCGGTTTGTTTTGAGTCTTTTCCCTACTAGGTGTACCGCTTTCTCCACGGCCAGGAGGGTTATCCGACTGGAGAGGCAGCAGGTGTTGGGGCCGGCCTGAAGCCGAGGTATAGGAACCTGGGTATATTCCTGGGCTGGGGCTGGACAGCTTGGGGTCTGATTTACTGGAGGGTCCGTGTTGGTCCTGCACATGCTTGGGTAGACCTCCCCTGATTTTGCCTCCATCACGACTCTGTTCTTTGGCTACACCTGAATCCATGACAGGTGGGTAGGCCTCAGGGGGCACACCTGTCCTTTGGAGGTGGCCAGGGTAACCTTGGTAGCGTCCTGGGCCTGAGGGCATGGACCTGCCGGGCCAAACAAACCCCATTTAATAAACAAGGAAGTCTAAATGGTAAACTTTGCTGTGAATGTTTGAGAAGTAAGCTTTGTCCCAGTGTTGTCCTTAATAAAAACAGAACTAAAGTGCAGTTTACCGTAACACAGATGAGCTGGAGTGTTCGCTGACAGAAAGACTTTTGCCCCCAGTGTTGTGCAGGACGCTTGGCCTCTGCTGCACGTTCTCCTGGGTGCGAGGGGACACCGGGGAGTGCTGGTGGCTGTACGGTTGGGAAGCAGGTCTCACATTGCTGCTGCTACTGTTTCCCAAGCTGTGCTCTGTACCTTAGAAGCACAAAACAGACCCATTTAATCTCACAGATGCATTACTACCTTTGTGCTGTTAGTATGTGCCTTTACTTTTAACATGATGACAAAAATGAAAAAAAAAAACAAAAAAAAAAACAAACAAAATTGCTCCACACCTGGTCGCCAGATGGGGGCGTGCTCAACATTTCCAAGAGACCCGCCCTTCTCTCTGTCGCGCTCTCGGTCTCTCTCCCTGTCCCGGTCCCTTTCCCGTTCCCGGTCCCTCTCGCGTTCCCTCTCACGATCTCTCTCCCGGTCCCGTTCACGCTCCCTCTCTCTCTCCCGCTCTCTGTCTCTCTCCCGGTCCCTCTCTCTGTCACGCTCACGGTCTCGCTCACGCTCGCGCTCCGAAGATGAGGATGAGCCTTGCATCTTGTTTAAGTGTGAGGAGCCAACTGTACAAGAAAAAAAAAAAAAAGGAAAAACAATTATGAAAACAGTGCAACGTATCTAATCTCTGGGTGAGTTTGCTTGTGTGAACTGAATTGTACCTGGTGAGATGGGGGAGGTGGTGTAAGGCCTGCCGGGGAAGGTGGTGCTTCCCCCGGGGATGTAGGTGATGCGATCCATTGGGGAGCCGGCTGTCCCTGCAGAGGGAGGGACCAGGACAGGTAAGTGTGGCACCTGAGAAAGATCGATGATCCCTAGGGGACAGAAAGAAGAGAAGAGTAAAGGAAAACCCAATAGCTGGTCTACATGTGGAATGTGTGGTTTCGGCCTGGAGGACAACAGGTAAATAAAGTACATACTGTTGTCACATATTCCATATAGCAGGATGTCATTCAGGAATGTAACAGTTTTGATAGGTACAATAGTAACGCAAGGACATCTGGCTATCTTTGAAATAAAACTGCCTTTTGAAAGGAGAAATTATAAATCGGCTAAAAGGCCAAAGGCACTAAACTGAGAGAGCAGCGTTGGATCTGAGAGTTTCTGATTATGGAGCATTTCAAGACAAAATGTTGAAAATCAAACTCCCCACTCACTCACTGCTCCCCAACGAGGGAGCAGTGAGTGCATTTGCATTTCAACTTAACTCAAACAGACAAAGGGAAGATAAATGCTGAAGCAAGTTGCTAGACCGTGTTGACAACCAAGTCGTGTTTCCTTCTCTAGCAGCTACTAATTACCTTTAACCGCTGCTTGATGCAGCACACCAGCTGATTGCCCACAGGTTATGTGGGTCAGACATGCGCATAGCACGGCTCAAGATAAAAATCAGACCAAAGTAACATAAAATACCAAGAGCTCACAGCAGTGGCTACAGAGAAAAAAATATATTCAAAATATATCTAAAGCTGAATCCAACTAAGTTTACAGCCTTTTATAGAATATGAAAATGTAACACAGAGATCATTGTGAATGCATTATGCACTTGAGCTGCACAGTGAGGTACCAGGTTAAGTAATCCACAAACACCTGCTAGAGAACTCTTATTGAATGAAATCCAGGCAACATGAGGCGTGCTGCTGCACTGCTAAGAGCTATTAGCAAGCTCCATCTGTAGGTGTATCACACTTAATGTGACTCAAACTCAGCGTTGTGAAGCCAGGTGGCCTTACCACGTGGGGCTGCAGAGTAGGGCAGAGGAAGGGGCTGGTCTCGTGGAGTCAGGCCCCTCAGCAGGTCTGAGCGCTGGGCGGCCATGGCAGCAGTTGGAGGCCACTGGTGCATCTGCTGGGAGGTGATGTAGTCGTTGAGCAGAGTCTGGCGGTTCTCCAGGGCCGCGGTGTCGGGAAAGCCACGGATGAGGTAGGGGTAGGGATGAGGATACGCCGGGTTGGGGGCTAGGTGGCGAGGCAAGTAGTAAGCTGCTGTGGATGAAGAGGAGGAAATGTCAGAATGATTAAAGATATTTTCAGACGTCTTCTCAGAATGAAGTGAGTGTGTTCAGATTGTGCTTGACTGACATCTTCCTCCCCTTTTCTATTTTGTTTCACCTCTCTAAATGTGTTCAGATCAACAGGCCCCCCACCAAAACATTGCAAATGGTGTGGTCGTGGTGCTACTGCTACTGGCAAGAAGATGAAGTACAAACCACACAGAGATATTGGTACTCTACCTAGAGTAGTATGTGTACTTCCATGTATTTGATTGGTCAATGCAGTGGTTTCCCGGATGTTGATACACTGTGTTGCGGCAAAAGTTGAGCTAATTTTGCATCAGCACGAAAGTCTCATTGCAATAAAAGGATGTGTTTTTGATGCAAGGCTGTTGTTGGTCTGAACCCTGTTGTGTAACTTACGCCTTTATAGTTATTACAGAACATGGATTTTGTTGACCTCCCATAACTGCCAGCAAAGCTCCACCAAACCTCAAGTGAGCTGAGGTCTAATCAATAACCGAAAACACCACACTCGATACGCAAGGTCTTCAAGAACACACTTAAAATAAGAGTTTTAGATCACAAGGTTAACATCTTCTATGTTTTATTTGACTGTGGCTGTACCTGGGTCAATAGGAATGCCACGGGGCAGCGCTGCAGGATCGAAGGTTAAGGGGATTTGACGGTACATGTCGGTTCCGAGACCCTGCAGCAGACGCTCATAGGTCTGCTGATCAGGAACACCAGGCAGCGGTGACTTGGTGGCGCTCATCTCCCTGGGGGTCGGTGTGGCTTTACGCTCCTGAGGCGGATTCTTACTGGAACCTGGAGTAGAAACAAGGAAACAAAAGAATTTCATGTACAGTCTTTGGGTTGAAGTATCTTGTTCTTGGATAGTTCAGCTGCTGTTGCTATAGCAAGACCCTTTTTACAGAAACAAACAAAAACGACCCTCTTGATTGGATAAGATATACCCACCATCATGCTGCCTTTGGCTTGCCTCCCTGGACAGAGGGGAGCCACGATGAGAGGGTCCAGGGTAAGGGTTCCTTAAGGCGCCTTTGTCGTCATAGCCCACTGGGCTGTGATGAGCCTTGCCTCCCTGCTCTGACCCCAGTGTAAGGGGAGAGGAGCGGGCTATAGGGCTAGCCGTACTGACCACCGCGCTGGGGCGCCCTTTTGGTGCCTCTTCATAGCGGCCCCTGTCAGCACGCATCTCCAGGTGGGAGGGGGTGTTATGGTAGGAACGTGGTGAACTGGCTATGATGGAGCGGACATCATGGCGTTTCCCTGAACCAGCTGCCTCCTGCTTCATGGGTGTTCCCTGAAGAGGAGCACAACAGGAATGAATGAGCTTAGTTGTAGACAGGGCCAAGAACATTACGGGTCGGATAGTGTCCCAGTGTGTTGTTAGTGTGTGTATACCTGTGCTATGATGCCCTCCTTTGGAGGCTGCCTGAGCTCCTCCCTGGGAATGAGGTGGATGGAGCGGCCTGCCTCCTTCACAGTGGGCACCATGGCCTCTCTGCCCTTCATTGGGTCAGAAAGTGAACTGGGTCCACGAGGTGGGGAGCCCTCTCTCTTCATCTGCTTAGCCTCCCTCCTGAGGTATCCATCCTGAGGGTCCAGATGACGAGGTATACCTGAAATCATGAGAATATGTCAATCTCATTTTTCTTCAAACTAGAGAGGACAGGACATAATTTAGGCAGAAGGGAGCTGAGAAATGGAGAAGCAGATAGGACAGAAACAAAGAAATGTTCTGAGCAGCTTCATCCACTACTGTCTCTGGGCAAGATGAGACAAGATGGTTATCCGACTTGACTGCCATCACATAGATAAATACAAATACCAACATGAAAGTACTCATGCCAGTGGGTGATTTCTGGTAACATGGCACAATCTGTTTCTTGAAAGGAAAAAAAAAAGGCGAAAGAAAACACTGTGTTTCTCTGCAGCTCTGCTGAATGAGCACTGAGAGTGTGGACTGCAGAAGTGAGAGCACAAAGAGTGAGTGCCTTCAGGGAAAACACAGAATACAAACAGAGACGACATTACAGTGAATTGTCTTTCAAGCAGATATATTTACATTAAAGTTCAAAGATCTAATCTGCTGCAACAACTTTGAGACTTTTCTCAGTCCCATTGTGTCACTTTATTCTGCTATGCTGGTATCCTACCTTGAGAGATGGAACCACGGATGTGATGAGCATCCTTGTAAGGTGTGTGGTGCGGACTGTCCCTGTCATGAGGCATGGCTCGACCAATCAAACCTGAGGTAGAGGGAAAGGAGTGGAGAGATTCAACGACAGTCAATGCTTTCATCCATTATCAGAGGAGATGCCGACAAGGGTCAAACATGATTACATCCAGTGGCCTTTTGTGAGTGTGACAGAGGGTTAAGTGGAGTTTTCTCTTACCTTCACAGTTGGCAGCAGACAGTGAATCCCTCATAGGCAGTCCTCTAGAGATGCCTCCCTCCATAGCATCATAAGGACGCTTCAGGCCCAGAATTTCCCCGGGCTGCCCAGGGCCTCGGCCCTCATCTTTAGGGGTCTGAGAAGCAGCGCCTACAAATAACAAAGATGTTACTATAATCAGGTAAACAATATCTCATAGTTTAAGGTTCACTCAGTGAAAATCATTCCATTTGTTGGGCTTTTGCCAGATCCTATGCAAAATGAACAGCTGGCCACGGCATGAAGTATATTGTAGCCCAGCTGATGTACTCACGTTCATATGTGAGAATGTGCCCGCTGATACCCTCATACACCACATGGCCTTTAGACAGCGCCTCATCTCGCTCCCTCTCAGCTCGGCTGGCGCTGTCCTCTGTGATCAGACGGGTTATGGTTCCCTTATACAGAACATCAGCCGGTGTCCCCTGCAGTGAGGAGAGGAGACATGAGACCAGCACTTTATCAGTTTATCAGTGAGCCGCAGGAGCTGAGACAAAATCTGATCATGGCTTTTATAAGACAAATTGGAGAGAGGACCTAAAAGAGACAGCATCGACTAGCAGCTGGTGCCGTTTACAAGCCTCAGTTTGGTCCGTTTTCTCAACCACCCTTACATGACAAAGTGACATTAAAACAAAAACTGCTAGCTGCAAAAACAGCTGCAATATCAACACCAACAGCAATGATCAAGTCAGGCACAGGTAACAGGCGGTGTTGAATGTACACTGTTAAATCCTGTACAATCTCAGTGTGATTACACTGACTAGTCAGTTCTGTTATATAGCCTGAACAGTCTTCATGGGGAATAATCACTGTCACGAAACCTCACAGTGGGTGAGACATTTCAAAACCCACAACCAATGCTATGAAAGCAGACTGTGTTATATAGATATACAACACAGATATATAACAGACTATAGCTAGCTAACCATATAAGGCAGCTATATAACTATATAGCTCTTACTCACTAATCTCTGTTATAAAGGCCCCTAATAAAATCAGTTTAGTTTTAGCTTTGAAGGGCTGTTAATAAATAATAGTGCAGGTCAGTAATTCTGACTGATACAGTTATGGTACAGATAGCGTGTGTTTTCTTTCCTTTTCTCTTCAGGATTGTTGAGTTAGATATAAGTGGAGCAACAGTGTTGATTTGACTGTAACGCATATTGTAGATCATGTTACACACAGAACGTGTATTCTGTTTCCTGAATTATTTTTGCCCCAGAAGGAATGTTTGTTACAGCGGTGACAGATAACAGGGATCTGAATAAATAAATAAAGATAGAAAAAAAAATAAACAAATACACACAAAACAAACAGAATAGTACTCCCAAAAGAAGTGGAGGTGCAACCACTTGGCAGCAGCGGATGACAACGGGCAGCTTTGTTAAAACCTGGAGTCAAATCACTGAGTATGAGTCATATTTCTACACGGCTTGGTGGAGAGATGAGAGCGGGGGCGGATGGCTGAGCAGGAGACACAGCAGTGTTGTTGACTGAAGCTTTTCCAAGAAGATGCTGCTGAATGTTGGGGACCAGACAAGTATGGTTTGCTGTAATGGGCGTTTGGAGTCACATGGCACTGACCAGTCCTGAAGCAGTCCTCATCTACTCCTAATGAAAGTGCACCACTGCCTTTACGATCGAACAAGCTGAACAGACAAATGAGTTGTCCCTCTACAACGGCAGTGAGTATACATGATCGCTCTCACCTTTTCCTTACTAATCTGTCATGGTGAATAACAGCCCCCTCAACACTGTTTTCTCTCGTATGCCAGCGTGATGTGATATTACAGTGGGCATATCAATGACTGGGTTTAGCCAGCGTCTAGAGTAAATAGATAAATAAGAGAGGGAACAGACGCGGTACAGTGTGTACCTGTTGCTACGGTGACAGGGCCACTCGGAGCTGTGGTTATGTCACCGCAGCAGGGAAATCCAGCAGCCAGAGCACTTGGTCTGCCTTACGATCTCAACAGCTCTGCTGCTCTCTCTCTTTCATCATAAGTACATAAGTCAAAGCCCAGTAACATGATGGCTGTTAAGTTTGACGGCAGTGGCTGTTAAATGTTGTGGGCAGGTGGCAAATGACAGCAGCGATATGGGCAAAACTAGCATTAACCATCAGAAAAGGTGGAGGTAATTAAAAATAATGAGGGTGGGTTGTCTGTGTCACAGCCATACAAGCTGCTACAACCATGAACTTTAACACAGTTCAATGTAGCGCCAGTTTAAGTTCACCACTTGGATCTATCTTTGTCTGGAGAAAGCAACTCATTTACCTGAGTGCGCCGCTCCTGCACAGTGATCTGAGAGGAAACACTGGGCCGAAGTCTCTCCTAAACCCACATAATGCCTCATATTTAAAGTGACTTAGCTAATGAATTTCCGATGAAGTTCAGAGGTTCTCCAAATAAAAGGGGAAGAGAACTGTTTGCCAGTTATCTGTCGTAATGCACTATTCAAATTGAACACTGTCAGCACAATACCCTTAACACACTCACATCAGGGTTGCCGCACCCAATGCGGCGCTAACAAACTCCACACATGGCAGATTCTGTTACAGTGAGAGGAAAAACATAGCGGTAAGGGATTGTCTATTGACTGCGCAAGTTATCTGTCATCAACTTTGTTATGTAGAAAAACGTAGAGAGAGAAAAAAAAACTGTATTGGGACATTCCTAATTCCTGAATAGCAGCTTTAAAAAGGACAAGACTCGCAGTACTTTGCTGGTCTGAGCTCACCTGAGTAATGGATCCCCCACGGTAGGAAATTGAGGGATCTGGATGCATTCTGGTCCCTGGGATGCCCTTAGTGATACTACCCCCCTGAACAGCTGGAATAGAAGCTGTAAAGATAGTAAGAAAGACATTTATGTAACTATAGGCAGTACAGCAGTATTAAGAGTAGTTAAAGTGGAAAACGAATGTAAACTATCACTGGGATTTATGGTTTGTAAAAAATATCCCTTATCTGATATCTAGAATTGTAATGTTCAGTCTAGTTTACTTGGTGATGACAAAGTCAAAAAGTTTTACACATTTGTTCTGTAAAGGACAACTGAAGGCACCGCTGGCAGTAATTAAAGCTTCGACTCTTCTTGAGTAAATGTGCATCGGCTCTGCACACATGGATTTGAGCATTTTCTCCAATTCTCCACATCCTCTCAAGCTCTGTCAGATTAGATGAGCTTCAGTGAACTCAACTCCCCATGAGAGTCAAGTTTAGCCAGGGTCACTCATGTACATTCAGACACTTGTCCCAAAGTCACTCCAGTGTGGTCCTTGCCGTCTGTCTCAGGTCACTGTCATGCTGAGGGGGTACATCTTTCCAGCATAACAGAGCTCAATGAAACATGTGGAATACCTTTGTTATTAAAGGGTGTGTGTGACAAAAACAGAATCAGTTTTAAAAATAAATCTGATACCAAAAAAATTTGGAAAAAGACTCTTCTTCATTCTTTACTTGCTGATCTATACAGGACAAAGAAAAATGTAGGGGCACCAATACAAGTTTACTGTATACAGAAATTGAAGAAAAGAAAAGGTGAGCCACGCACCACGTCCAGAAGCACAATCATGAGGCGTCCCCTGGATGGACAGGTTGTCGGCCTGAGAGGATGAGCTGCGAGGGGACAACTGTTCCTGCTTCACCACAGGGAAAGGACCTGCTGCATAGTGCAGGACAGTTTGGGGAAAAACAAGGAATGAACAAACAGACGGACGAGACAATGAGACAGACGTATCTATGGTGATGCAGCAGATGATCAGGCCTCAATATCAGTTGTGATGGATGCTTTAGAAGTAGATGGCAATTTACAGAAAAGAAAATCTGGAAGTGCACTGGTGCCTCCAGAAAAGTTTTACTCACCCACTTTCCTCTGATCCATCCAAGACAACCCTATTTGTGTGGGAGGCATCTTCCCATGGTCCAACCCATGAGCCGGGCTGTGCAGCTGCACTGGGGTCCCCTGAAGACACCCGTATTTGGTCACAAAGGTTGTGTTAGATTCTAATTGTTTGTCCTTAGCAAGTGTGCTACTAAAAGTATATTAAAAAAATATATATACAATTTTCAAATAACATGATTTCCGTGGGCCGACTATCTCAAAGCCCTAGTTTTCATTTGTGTTGTGCTGTACCTGAGTGATGGAGCCCCCTGGCTTGGTGGAGGAAATGAGAGGTGGTGGTTCTGGCATCGTGAGGGGTCTCACTGCTGCTAGCCGACCACTCTCCTGTGCAGCACTAGTGAGTGCGGGGTGGCCCGCTTGCTGGAACGCTGAAAGGCAGGACACATTATGGAGCTCAAGATCGGACTATCTGATTTCTGGCAGAGGGTTTCTAGAGGCATTTGAGCATCAAGAAGCAAACTTCCCATACAAGACACTAACAAATATTCAAATTTAGGCTTGTTAAGAACATGCAAAGAGGACAGAGAAGAGGACTCACAGTTGAAGTGGAGTAAGTGCTGGTCGTGACTGATCTTGGCCATGTCTCGTGGGGACATGGGGTACGGGGAGAGAACAGGGCGACCCAAGTTAGAGGTCCTTAGATCATCGGGGCCCAGTGCCTGCTTCTTGGCTTCGCTATGTGGAGAGAAAGCCCGGGACTTTTCTGAAACAACAACGACACACAAACAGAGTCAGGGCCAGAACACAGCGCTCAACCTGACCTCTTCTAATCCAAGAAGCTGTCCTTCTGCCACTGCCAGCTCACTGTCATCAACACCATTGTCACTGTCATCGTCATGAGCATGTAGAACCCCTCATGCCACATCCCAGCCAGGGTGACACAGCACTGAATTATTTGCTAACATACACAGCAACCCACTGCTAATATTTAGTACACACAGTAAAAAATCCAGCAGAGGAGGTGATTGCACTGTAGTGTGCTAAAGGTGTAATTAGAAAGGAATGAGGGGAGAAGGCAAGGGGTGAACCTACTTAATCCCTGCAGGAGGGTCAGTAACCACCTCTCGTTGCCTTCCAGCTCTGAAGGGACACAAACACACCACAGATCATCGCAACCTCACAGAATTTATCTCTCTCTTCCTCACAAACATGCACTAACCACATAAAAGCTTTTACTACTGTCACCACATGATGTGAATTTAGTATTCACATGCAGAGAGATGGTAATAAATACTAGCTTGAATGCAGAGTTGAAAATATGTCCACACCTGCCTCTGCGGCAGGTATAAAGAGTTTTTCCCTTTTTTCTAAAAAGTCTTTAAAAAAAGAAAAAAAAAAAAAAAGGTGGTTGCTGTGCGTTACAGTTCACAGCTGGCGTGTCGTACACTTGTGCTCTCAGAGATTCACATTCCACACGCTCACAGTAAGTGAACTAGACTATATTCCCTTCTGGGTCAGTAGCAATACCAGATCATTTATCAGTTCCCTTTCCACGAGTGTCCCAGAAACACTTGAATACCCTGAACACTAGAGAACACAGACTCAAGGTTAGAGCATGTAGCAAGGACCAACTAAGTAAAACTAGATCAAATGCAACTAAAGCTCATTTCATAGTGCTAATCTGGTTTCCATAAAACCATTTATCCTACACAATTTCAGCAATGTGCCATGTTACACAGACACACACCCTGCTGTAGAGGGACACTAGGGATCATACAGAAAGAAAATAATGGGATGGGGAAAAACAGACAAACGGGGAGATTAATAAGGAAGAAATGCTGGAAATTGAGTGAGGGGTTCTTCACTAAATGAACTTATTGCCAATAAAAAGTAGTTTTCTATGATGATGGAGTTGTCGTACCATCCTTGTCGCTGGTGGAGGGGCTGCGCGGGCGAATGCGAGGGCTGCTGCTGTGAAGAGCCTCCCTGTCTCGGTCTGCCTGCGGGGTGTAAGGCTGCTGCTTGCCTGGCTGGCCTGAGAGTTGTTGCTGCTGCTGCTGCTGCTGCTGTTGCTGTTGCTGCTGTTTGACCTCCTGGGAGGACTCCCCATGAGCCATGGTGATCTGCTGCTGGTACAGTGCCAGGGCGTGGGGGGGCAGCACTGCCTTGCCACTCCCACTGCGCTGACTGCCCTGCATGGAGGCCTCTGGCATCTACACACAGGATGAGGAAAAGGTTACATACACAGCGCACACCATAACACAAGCCCAGTCCTATCTGGCATGTGACATATGGTTAGCCACATACAGTATCTGACAAACATGATAGCTAAAAAACAGCTCTTATTTCTTGGTAAGCTAAAGTTTCCCTAATGTCTGGCATCTCGTTTCTTCTCCACAAAGCAATCTATCCCATCATCCTCCATCTGGCTGGCTTACCTTATACAAATATGACTCAACAATTTAAACCTGCTGTACTCTTATCTCTGTAAGCAGAGTGAAAGTGATAGTATTGATATCATTGCAATGGCAGAGTGAGTGAGCGGGCGGGTGAGAGAGTGAGTGAGCGGGCGGGTGAGTGAGTGAGTGAGTGAGTGAGTGAGTGAGTGAGTGAGTGAGTGAGCGAGTGAGCAAATCAGTTTTCTGTTACAAAACATAACCTGGGTCAAAGACAGTTTTTCCAAGGCTGGAAAAGCCGAGATGTTCTTCACTTAACTGTTGCGTGATGCGAGAGACAAAAAAACACTGAGCCAAACTAGTGACTCACAATAGGCGGTATGGCAGCAGCCCTCTGTTTGAGCTGCTTCAGGTCCATGGGCTTCTGCAGTGGGGAGGATATGACTCCATCGTGAGTGTAGTTCAGCAGGCTGGGCCGTGGAGAAGTCATTCTATATGCACACGCACGCACAGACAGACATACAGACAGACATGTTAGGGGGAGTGAATAGGAGGTTGAGGATAGAGGGCACATTATCATGTTTCTGCCAATGGATGTAGAACCGCATAACTTTAATATGGCCACAAATGGCCCTCTGTCATCTGCTGTGCCTACCTAAATCCAACAATTCATTTGAAAATGTTCACAGATAAATACCAGATAATACCACAAAAAAGAGCAGAGGTTCTGAGTGTGTTTCCACCCCCCACATGCCTGCCTACCCACCCCCCCTCCCCCGCCCCCAGGAGATACAGGCACATTGACAAATCCTCACTAAACAAAGAATTTCAGTATTCAAATGATGAGGGAAAGCAGAGATATATGGGATATATGTGTGTATATGTGTATATGTGAGTGAGTGTGTGTGTGTGTGTGTGTGTGTGTGTGTGTGTGTGTGTGTGTGTGTGTGGGATATGGATGTAGGATGAGTGTTGACAGAGACTGCCTGTGTGGAAAAAAAAAATTACAAGTAAAAATCCATATCCATGTCTTGCACATCTGTCGAAAAGCACACAACATTCTCTGAATCACAGACTGATACACACTTTGATGCACGGCAACACAAAAGTGTGCAGACGCACACATACACACTCACTGCCTTTGTTTGCTTTGGCAGAGAGGGCAGCGTTTCCCTCGGCTCTGCCAGTACATGCAGTCTGCTGTCATGGAAAAAATTGAACAAATACCGTGCAAACAAAACTAATCACTCCTCCCACGCACTTTGACACCCATTTCTCGTGGCCTCATTCACAGACGCGCACACGTGTATACGGAAAATATATATTCTCATTCATGCAAAGTGCTAATAAAATCTCTGGTTGATAGAAAAGAGCAACCTGTGGTGTACACACACAAGTCGCTTGCCAAATACGGCTTCACTGCCGTACAGTGTAGCTAGGCAACTAATAACACTTCAAAACCCTCGCTGCTTTATTTTCTGATGTCTGCTGTGGCAGACCGGAGAAGTAGGACACCTATAAAAACCACTGCTCTGCTCAGAAACCAGAGGCCCTTTGACACTAAAAACCAAACAATAAAGACATCGTATAACATTTCTTATTTAAATGAATGGGAAACAAATATCTAATTTTCACTCTACCTCTTGCTAAGAGTTCTTACCTGTTCTTATCCGTGTTGTCTGTCTCCTCCACTTCATCAGCGCTGCAAGTGGCACTAGAGTCACTGTCCCCGTGGGAGCCCGTTTTGGCCCCATGGTCCTTCTTGGAGCTCTTGGTGGAGCTTTTGACTTCCTCCGTCTCGGCTGTAGGAGGTTTTTTATCTGCGGCATCACTGGGTGGTGCTGGCTGCAGCTGCTCTTTGTTGGGCTCCCCTGTCTCAGTCTTTATCTCCTGCTTGATGGCTGAGTCTACATCTTCTTTGACCGGAGGTTTCTCATCCCCTGCCTGGCCCACATCTGATCTGGATGCCTCCTTGTCCGCGGCGTTGGAGCCAGCCTTCGACCTGCTTGAGCCCTCCTCCTTAACCTTGCTGTCCTCGGATGAATGTGGTGAGGGCAAGCTCTCTGTGTCAGAGCTGTTGTTGGCTCCACCTGGCAGGGACAGAGGACAAAGGGAAGCACAGATCAGAAGAAGAGACTGGGATTATACTGTAAATCATGTTATATCTCCTTGTCCTTTTTTCTTCCATCTTTTCCCCATCTCTTTCTGCTAAACCAGATTCTTCACAGTGCCAGTCTTCTGCCTAATCAAGTTTCACTGTACAATAAGGAGGAACACAAAACCACTGGGATGATGGACGAAATCCCCTGGGGCTTCAGCGCTCTATTGTGAAAGTACAGTCTACACTGTATACTTGTATCAACAGACTACAGCAGGATTTTCAGGACACTTTTATGACCGTCGCTGCAGAACATGATTCTTCAAGGTATCTCTTTAAAATCTAATGTAGTCCAATGTGACAGTTCAGCCATAAATTCTACTTTTACAAAGATAATAATGTTCTGTTTGACTGACAATGTAAGAGAGCTAGTCATTTAATCATATATGTATTATTAGATGTTTTTGTTTGCAGTGATGTTGAACTCTGAAATATAACACAATCCAGAACACCAACACACCACTAACACAAAATAAAAAATAAAAGCACTTCTTCCAAGACTTCTCTCAGCGTTTTGATAAAAACTGGCCATTATAAGTTTTGTAAAAGTAGGATTTGTGACAGGTCTGTTGTTTTGTATTGCATTTGCCTTAAAATATATAAGTGTACCTAATAAAGTGTCCTGAGTCTACGTATTAGCCATCTAAAACCTCCATTTTGCTTTACTCACAGCATTTCAGAAAAAAACCAACACACACAGCAACAAGCTTGTTATTAATCATCTTACATAATTAAATGCTGATGCAAGAATTATTTTGTCACCAATTTACACTTAGAATACTTAAACACTTAAAAAATAGAATAGAATACCATAAAAATACTATATAATGAAACAGTAACCTATTTTAAACCATAGAAGATTCATAATGCCCCAATTGATAAATGCTGGTAAAATAATAAAATCTTTGATTCATACAGTGTTTTGTTTTGGTAAATAGCGTCATGTATGTTGCTCCGTATGTACCATCTCCATCTTCAGGGGCCTCCTCTTCATTTCCACTGGCTCCTGAACCCTCCATCTCCTCCTCCTCTGGTGCGTATGGGGCACTGGCCTCCTCATTCTGCGGGGCTTTGCCCCTACGACGGGCCTTTCGCTCCTTCTCCTGAGTCAAAACAAACACACACTAAATAAAAACTGCCCACAGATCTTCAGAGAAAACCCAGAAACAATCTTATTGCTTGGCGGAGCACAAAAAGGTTGAGTGACGGCTAAGAAACTTTCTCTGTGCTTACCGATTTCATTTTATGCTGCTGCAGAATCTCATCAAGTTTCTGCCTCTTCTTGTAGTTGAAGTAGAAGTTCTTGCACTGCGACACGGTTTTCGATCCCACCATCTTGGCGATGGCGGACCAGTTCCTACCATACTGGAGAAGGCCTGAAATAAACAGATGGACAGGCAGAGGGATTAGAATAGGAAAGGAACAAAGACAGACAAAGATGATATGAAGCTTCCATATCAAATGATATTCTCTATGAAGTTATAAAGAAGTGATGTAAGCTGTGCAAAGTGCAAGACTGTAAATTGAACTGTTATTTCAGTTTCTATGCTGTAAAGCATATCTCCAACTCTACTCTTCGAGTGCACAGTATGGTAACTCAACAGCCATACACATCTGTCTCTATACAGCTGTGAAAACTATAGCACAGACTGGGTGTTTAGTTCACGATGCAACGCGACACAGTCCCACTCTCTCAGCTGCAGCATGGCTCGATGCGTTACACCTCCTCAGCAGAGACAGAGAGAGATACAGAGAGACAGGGGAGAGAGCGAGGGGAGTGGTGGCGTGGTGGCTGACCCGTCAGTCATACCAATGACATCACTAACTCAACCCACTGGGGTCACTCTGTGTCATATTCTAACTGACTTTGATGTGACCCAGTTCCAAGAAACCCTAGTCCTCTAGCCAGTCAACCACATGATTGTGCCTTACACAAGAGTCTACAGGCACCCGCTGGGCCAGAGCTGTGATAGATCAACCTGTCATGACACACACACACACACACACACACAGGAAACACACACACACACACACAATCACTTAGTCTATGTGTGCTAAAAGAAGAGATGCAGAGAGCAGTCAGTGTGTAAGTGCAAGTGAGTGAGAAAGACAGATAGCATAGAATTTGCTCTGGTGTTTCCCCCCCTCCACAGTCTGCTGTTAGCTAAAGGCAGCTCATTAACAGTGTGTGTTGTAAGAGGCTTAAGCTTACACCACCCACTTGTTTCCTGCGCCAGCCTGACAGGTCCTGGCAACAGGACACCCTCTCAAAGGGTTGTGGAGAGAGGGAGGGGGTTATTAACAGGCACAGAGCCAACACCCCCTGGGATAACCTTGGTCATGGGTTCAGAGGTCTCTGCATCTCATCGCTTAATGGAGGCAGTAGGACAACAAGCACAACTCCGAGCCAAAGGAGAGGAAAGGACAGCTGTTTACAGCCCTGTCATTTCAACAGTCCTATTAATCAGAAAGATTGACTGTGATACCAACACTTTATTGAATAATGATAGTAATAAGTAATAGCTGCAATAAAAGCTGGCCTATTAGTTGTTTACATGTTTAATTCCTAGAATATTATTCAAGGGACTTATGTGTACATAAACATATCACCCCAAATATCATAAAGTATCCAGAAAACCGTCTACACAGTCACATTTCACCTCTATCCATCCCTTGCAAAGAAAATTTACTATATTTATCTCTGCATTGACATAAGTAAAATACTACCTCTGTCACAAATACCTACTGATAGAAAAACTCTTTTGCATCTATAGAAGCCGTGCATCATCCAGCAAATGTGAGAAGTTGCATAATATTCACAGTCACACTGAGAATTTATTAATGCCAGAAAAAAAAAGAAGTACCCTAACAAGCAAAGGTGATCTTCAAGTCTGAGCTGTTGGTGTCTAAAAGCTGCTGCACACCTACAACCTGTCAAGTGGTAAAGTGGAAGAGGTTTTTCAGCTGAAATATTCATTGCTGCCACTTAAAAGGCATTGCTAGGAAAGCTCCTCCATAAAAGAAAAGAAAGGAAAAGAACAGTTGGCCTGACTTGCTCCAGGAGGACTGAGACACGTGACCGACAGCTATCAACCTTTTACAGTCTTCTCACAGGGGGGGGCAGTTACACACCCTCCAACCTGCCTGAGCACACACAAACATACACATGCTCAGACAAACAAAGACACAAACAGTGGCATAATATCACACCCATTCAAACTACTGAGAGACACTCTGCTGCACCCAGTGAAGGAAGCAATAACAATCCACTGGAAGTCAAAGGTCACTTTGTTATGACCTCTGGCTACATCCAGTTTATTCCACTGTAAGCACATACTCAAAGCACAATCCCAAGCAGCTCTGCTTGACTCAGGACCTCAGTTGCTGGAGCAACACCACATGGAACGACCATCCAATCAGCAGCAGCAATACTGAAGCAGGTGGTAGCCTCACACCCAATCAGGACACTGTACTCCCATTAGCTCCTCCCACAGAAAGTCCAATCAACACCTGGTGCGGCCAGAAAGTGGTTGTTCCTGTCTGTCACATGCCTGTCACTCCAGCCGTCGCCTGGTGGCCCTGCTGTAGATAACACTATCAGACAGTCTGATCTCTGGAGGGCCAGCCGGGAAGCTCTTCGGGGCTGGGCCTTCCGATCCAGAGCAGAGGAGATGAAAACAGCTCAGTCTCGCTGCTCCTTCTGCCAGCTGGCTTGATACTTGAGCCGGTGTCAGGTTGACGTGTTCCAAAACAGCACATGCTCCTGGCCTCTCCCCTCCTTTTCCTCTCACTCTGTCCTCCCTGTGCTTCGGCGAGTGCTGGTCTGTTCTTCTCTGCCGTGTCTCTCCCCAATGGCGGTCGTCTGGGAAGACTTCCACAGGAAAGTGGGACTGTGGGGCGGTGCTATGTGCTCAGCCTTTCTCTCCCCTCATCTGATCTCTCCTCTATCTCTCTTTTTTTTTTCCTCCCTCCCTCTCTCCGTCGGTCTGTCCCTCCCCCTACCTCACTCTGCCAGCAGGCACAGCGGCACACACACACACACACACACAAATGCTTGAGTGAGTACACACTCACTTGAACCCTCTCTCTCTCTCTCTCTCTCTCTCTCTCTCTCTCTCTCTCTCTCTCTGTCTCTCTTGTTAATACTCTAGCACACAGACGCAAACACACACTCAGGCAGTCCAAGAGTAAACAGAGAGCAGAGAGAGAGAGAGAGAGCAGCCCAGAGAGAGAGGAAAGAGAGAGAGAGATAGAGAGAGAGAAAGAGAGAGACAGAGAGAGAGAGAGAAAGAGAGAGAGAGAGAGAGACAGAGAGAGAGAGAGCAGAGCAGAGCCACTGAGCTAAAGAGACAATAAAGAAAGGGAAAGGATACAGAAGTAGAGAGTAAGCAAAGAGAGAAGAGGGGGGAAGACAGGAGGGGGGAGAGGGAGTTGATGTTGATACCATGAGAAAGCATAAAGGCTTTCACATTTTTCCTGACTGACCTGCTTTTCATCTTGAATGTGACCTCTCACCAGTCTATAACAACACAGAGTGAGGGGAGAGAGAAAGTGAGTGAGGGAAAGAGGCGCTTGCCAAATCTTCCAGAGCTCTTGCCAAACTGGGCCGTTGCCATCTCCCATCCGAGAGAGACAGACAGAGCGAGAGGCAGAGATAGAGCAACAGTGGAGGAGAAAGAGAGAAAAGATAATATGGCATTCTCTACTTGCTGCTCCTTTAAATGGGTTCTTCCAGCAAGCAGAGCAGGGGCCATTATCCAGCTGCCTGCCTGCACCCAAGCAAAGCCTGCCAGATTAGTGCACTTACATAAACGCCAGCCAAGAAGGGTGCACATGCAAACACACACAGCTCGGACCAAGTGCACACAGACACAAGCTACGCTACACATATCTTACACACACACGGCCAGGCAGAGCCGGTGGGTTTAAGAGAGAGGCTTTACAAAGATTGGCCGTCCCTTGTTTCAGGTAGCAGTCTTCATGAGCAGTGAAAACAAGAATGATCTGTCTCTGAGTGCGGCCATGCCATCCTTAAAGGCAGCACTGGCTGGCGCTGCCATGCTGGAACGCTGATGTCCTGCCAGGCACTACGAGTGCCATTATTCAGATCTGTTTAGTTCAAGGGCATAAACACATTAGCATCAAGACACCTAAGCCTCTTTAAAGCACATACATGTCAAGCACCTGCAAGGGAGAGCACCTTGACAAGCTTATTCATTTCTATGAGGAAATGGGTGGGTGGGGTTATGATCCTGGAGTGTCTGAGTTCTTTGAAGGGGAATCCCTTTTGGCAGGTGAGGGGGTGGTTGTTAGAACTGATGAAAAACAGCAAGAGCAGCTCCTCTTCTTCGGCCGTTGGTACTGTAGCTGGGACTGTGCGGTTGTGGTTACATAAGCCCTTCATAGAAGCCCTGCTCCCACCGAGCTGCCAGGCTAATCCTCTGGGATGGAGCCCCCCACTAATCCCACTGCAGGAGAATGGAACTGAAGACATTAACCAGGATTACTACACAGGACCGTGTTCAAGCCAGACCAGCGCCAGTTATCACAAAATAAAACCTTAACACACAAACCCGCCCGCATACACAAACCCTAAATTGCAGAATACACCACACACGCAGGCATACAGGACGAGAGAGATGTGATAACTCCTGTAGAGTTAATGTGGTTTCAATATCACATTAAAGTTGCTGATAGCTGCTTGCAAGAGGCACATCACCTCCTGTTGATAACAGGGAAGGGCAGGTTAAATTCGTCAGAAGCAGAACTGAGAGTCGCACAAAGCACGATGACACATCATCTACAACTGGCCACAAAGCAGCCGCGCTGAAGTGAAATTGAGTTGAGTCATGTGCAGAAAGCAAGACTTGACATTGCAAAGACAGTACTCAGCCATCTGAGACCAAGATTTACAAAAACACCTATAAAAAGGTGCATTTAAATACACAGCTCAGGCTGACTTTTCATTCAAAAGATAAATATTAAGATGAATCTCTCTAACAGATAAGTTGCTGCTGTAGCAGATCAGTGGGGAATCCCTATCAAAAGAGTGCTACACATCAGAAAACACTGAAGTTGAGGAGCTCATTCAATCAGCAACTGAGACTCATGCACTGCACGCAACACACACTGTGAACCACATTCACACAGAGCACTGCTACGAGGAAAATGGGCAATGTCAGCGACCTCTGTGAATCAGCCATAGGCTTCTGGGTAATCTTCAGTCAGAGACAATAAACAAGCTGAGTTAATGACTGCTGCATTTGCAGGGGCTGGCTGATAAGAGGCAGACTTTACAGCCTGTTTGATAAAAAAAACAGGTTGCCTTGACCCAGAGAGAGGAAACGGCCCCAAAGAGCAACAGACCCAGTCCAGGCAGACTGACACATACACGTATAGACACAACCCAGCAGCACGTGGCAGTGGCTGCCTCACTAACAGGAAGTCACAGCCGCATCACTTGTCTATGCTTTCGAAAAAACAGTGCTTGATCTGCTGCTAATGTTCTCTCCTTTGGTATCTCAACTATAGTGCAAAGTAACTGCGATGAAGTTACACTTCACGGGGAGAGGAAAGGTTTATTCTTTATTACCTTTTTTGGCAGTTTCCATCTCTTCTTCAGTCCAGCGAGAGCTCTCATTCATCTCCAGATTGGCTGTTAAAAAAAAAATAGAGAACCACCAAGTTAGAGAAGGCGGGAGGAGGAGGAGGGGGAGTGGGCAGTTGTCACAAAGTCAGTTAGGGAGTGACTGACAAGAGGAAGGGAAGGAGAGAGAGAAATTAGAGAAGAAAAAAGAATAAGAGGTTGGGGGGCAGGGTAGCTTGTGCTGCTTTGCCAGTGAGGCACTGCAGCACGGGTCGCTAGGGACTGTTTGTTTTAGATGGAGGAAGCAGGAAATCCAAGGAGAGAAGTCAGTTAATGATTATAGACATAACAACTGGCTTCAATCCCTGCACAGGCCCCAAGCCAGGCCGACCCTGGCCCTACGTGTCAGACAGCGGAGCAGGAGCCTGTGCTCATGTGTCCTCTATATGGACCTGTGAAGGACACAGTGAGCCGGCTAGCGCTGCTGCCAGCGGGAGAACAAACAGTGGCGGAGGGGGGCTGTTTATGAGAGCCCCTACAGCCCGAGTCACCTGGGGATTCCCTGTGACTAAAACCTGTGCTGCAGGAGCGACTGCAGCATGTACACAGAACTGCTGACACATCAAAAATCCCTCATAGCCTGCAGCAAGAGTGTTGGTGTGTGCACGGCTAACTTACCACCTGCCAGGAAACAAAGAGCTAAGTGGGGAGGGCACTGCTGACACCGAGTATTTTGTCCTTAAATAATACTTTCGCCGACAGATGGGACGTAGCAGTCACATGCAGTCACAGTTTTTCACTGGTTTGATTTCTCAGTATACCAGTTAATGGTTTCACCTTTGTTACACAGTAATGAGTGCAAGACTGAATGTGAATAAGTGAATGAAGACAAAAGGAACAATAGTGCACTCTTGTGGTGTGGAACAGGAGACCACAGCTACATCAAAGGTGAAAAAGTCAATCTTTGTGGTGGTAGGTTACCTTTAAATCCTCTCTATTGTTTCATTGCTCCTGACAGGTGCACATTATTTGTGACCTAAATAACATACAAGTTTCCTTTACGATGAATATGAAATAACGTTTCTTGTCATGTCTGGGTGATTATCAGGTATACTACAGTGGTTCAAATAACAGTTTACAGTGTCCTGCATGCTAAAATTTGAACAGACAGAGGAGCAAAAAGTTAGTAGTTTGGTGCAGCACAACTGAGACTGACCGAGCTCATTGTTTAGGGGCGGTGTGGTGGTCTCCTCCACTTCACTGGTCATAGAGCGGGTGATGCGGCCCTTGCGGCGGCCCTGGCTGTTGGCTGTGCGTCGACCCTTGAAAGCGACAGTGGGCTCTTTGTCCTCCGCGTCTTCTCCAGAGGTGTCATCCCTACATTTCAGAAACGTCAACACGGTCAGCCAGAGATACACACAGGGTGTTTTGAATGTGTACATGTGATGGATCACCGATTTTGGAGCCAAAAGCCCCTAATTTAGGGGCAGCATTTTATCACAATAATAAGAATCGTTTAGACACAGAAAACAGTGTTTTTATTACCAAACCAAATGTGCTTAATCCAACTGAGCATGTGTTTCACTGCTGAAGATCAGACTAAATGCAAAAACCATTGACACAAGTATGAAATAAATATGGCTGTAGTAAGTGCAACTGTCTGCTGATGACTAAGGGTCACATACTATTTACACTCAAATATTGCATATAGTCACTTTAGCTCAGTTTTAATGTATAAAAACTGTAAACAAACATACACATCACGAGAAAGATGACACTTGAACCTCAATCATTGTTTCATTTCAGACACGATGTGCTTAAGTACTGAGCTAGCAACAAAAAATGTGCCACTGAGATAATACTTGCAGGTCGCACTGTACACTGTAGGGTATTATTCAAAATCATAAAGATATATCACATCATGTTTAGCAAAAAACATAACATGACAATAAAATGTAAAAGAAATGGGAGTAGGGAGATCTCACCAGTGAAATAATACCAATCCAATCTTTTGAGATGCAAATATTCAGTCAGTCCCAAAAATTTAAATCTAAACTTTACGTCCATCACCATCTTGTCCCTAATGCTCTTGTCTTCTACACTGCATTGGCTTTAGTGAGAGACACCTGGCCTGTGCTCTCTCTTTCTTTCTTTCTCTTCCCAGATAATTTATCGAGTGTCAGCACAACGCCATGCCAGGAGACAGCCAGTGAGTTTGAACGCTCTGCTCCTCCATTCACCTTCCCCCCGCTACATTAATCTTGATGAGAGTAGCTGGGGCACACTAAATATAGGCGAGCCAGCTGTGCCAGGGGAGACAGGCAGGTAGCAGGGAGTGCTGGGAGTCACGGAGTCCCCTGGCCTCGCCTCAGAGCAGGCAAGGCAGTAGGGCAATGCTTCATCCTCGAGTTTAGGCTGCTCATAAATATGACCTGCCATTACTTGAAACTGCTGTAGTGGACAGCCTCAGCTGATATAATAATATAAAGCATGGATACAGCGATGGACTGCTGTATTCATCAATTAATTTTCAGGCAACCGAAAGCAGTGATATTCCATCTGTTGTTTTGTATCCTTTGCTGGCTCTGTGCCTGAAAAGCCCGGCTTCGCCACCGCTGCGCCCACCCGCTTGCCTCCACACACAGACAGACACACACACACACAGAGAGAGACACACAGAGAGAGACACACAGAGAGAGACACACACAGAGAGACACACACACACACACACACACACACACACACACACACACACACACACACACACACACACACACACACACCCTCCTCCCTACAAATCGACAATTCAATTTGACAGCTAGGCTAATCACAACACGTATTTTCCCCACCAAAAAAGCCCCCAGACTAACAAAATAAGCACAGAATTTTAAAAATGACACTTGGCAACCTTTGGGGAAGGGGAGAAGCATAAACAGGAAAACAGCTGTTTTAATAGGGAGAACGAATGGACTCTTGAATTTGCCGTAGGTGGAAAGTCTTGCTGGAGGTGAGGGAGTAAGAGCTCAAGGGTTACGGAATGATTGGATTTCCAGATCCGCTCCCCCTCGCCAAACCTTACTCCTACTCCATTTGCTGCAGCCTGACCTGGAACTATTCTAAAAAACTGTGTGTTGGAGAAATGGAGAGTTTTAGCAGATAACTGCAGCTGCTACAGGTTCAGGCTCAGACAATGTGGTGGAAATGCTTTCACTCGGCTCCAACCTTTTCCTCCCAATCTGTCAGCGCATCAGTAAGTAAAATCATCTTGGCAGCACAAATTGTTTAGACTTTACATTTAGACATTTAACATTTCATTAAGTGTTTGTCAGGATTAAAAAGCGACTCACTTCATTCCATCCTCCTTGTCTTCAGCTTCATTTTTCTCTTCATCCCTCTCTCCCTCCTTCTCTTTCTCCTCCTTCTCCTTCTCTTCCTGGCTGCTGCGGTTCACTTGTTGCTGCTGCTGCTGTTGCTGGCCATGCTGCGATGAGAGACAGAGCAACAACAGGGCGCTCTGTTACAAAGATGATCCCAGGTAACTGGATACACAGACTTACAAACAAACACCGCGACCTCTCCTGTAACCTGTACACCTTAGATGTGCGGATGGACAAACATGAAAAAGAAACGCACTAACCACTGAAGTGTGTCTCTGCATGTTTGTGTAGGGAAAAATCATTGTGTGTAGTACTTAAATTTTGTTAACTACAGAGCGAACCATAATCAATTCATCGCCCCCTGATGAGTGGTGGTTGTTTTCTGTTTTTCTGTCATTGAAGTAGATTCCTCCAGTATTTCTCCATAACTTATCTCCTTTCACCACATGTATTTTCCACTTGTTTGCAGTCAGTGAGTGAAGTGGCATTTCCTGTGGCAGATCTGATATCTTAGATATTATTCAGATAGAAATGTACCTCTGTCACACACAGCTGCAGACGATGACACCTCTCTCTGCAGTCCTGGCTGGTTTTCTGATCAGGTAACAACAACAACAACAACAACTGCACCGCGGTGTTCATAAAAACATAGAAACATAAAATGATTCCTCTCTTTGTCATATCCAAAGATTTGGTTTCACCTATTTAAAGTATAGAACAATTACCAACCTAAAAAAAAAAAAAAAAAATCCTGTTCATGTTCATGCACCGACAAAACAAAACAGGATACGAAAGTTCCGAAATTACAGCAGCACATTTTGCTGTATAACTTTAGTTCTTTAAGCACCCAGAACCACTTCCTTACCAGCTTCCTGCCTGTCTGGGCTTTTAGGGTTAGAGTTCAGACGAGAACAGACACACAGCCTGACCAAAAACCTTAAACGCAGCTGAAAGCAGATATACTGACACTGATAAGAACTTCTGCTCTGTTTGATGTATTTGCAGTTTCTGCCTTCGTGCTAATCCTCATCCAGAGAACATAAACCTTTGGTTATCTCTTTATGACATATATGCTCAAAAAAAAAAAAAGAAAAAGACACATTGTCCTTGGCTTCTGGCGAGGCAACGTCAAAATGCACCTTTCACTCACACACTCTTTTTCTCCATTTGCACAATATCACTAATGTCCTCTCCCTCCCTTGCAAAATTAACTCAGACTGAGAACAAATAGAAGCCATAACTCAATAGCACTTAATGGCCTCCAAGCCTCATGTGCGTCGCTTTTTCCTTTTGCTTTCCCCAGATGCATCATCAGCCTAATAATCTCTATGTACCCTAACTGTACAGATCTGTTAGCACTGCATCTAAACATGCACCAAGCTGTTGCAGGGGCAGACCCACAGAGAGTGTAGTTAAAGGAGACAACAGAGCAGCCACCTCAGCTAGACCCAGAGAGGCTGGAAACACATTAAAGTTTGCGTTAAGCTATTACTTATTCTCACCATTTCTCCACTATCCAAACATAATCTCTATTAGCATTTGCAGTCATGCTGACATATAGCACTGCACTTTCTGTTCCTCCTTTGCAGCCACCTCCCTCTGTGACTGTGAGCTTTTAGTGCTAGCTGCTACTCAGGAGATGTGGAGCAACCCGCCAGGTAATGAGCAGCAGCTTCTTCAGGAAAGATGAGGGGACACAATCCTCAGACCCACAGGAAAAGGTCACCGGTAAATTAATGTGCCATTTCATTAGCACCCGCCACCATGAAGTTTAGCAGGTAGCACCTGATCCGGGACTAAAGTAATAACTAGGATCTCATTAGCAATAGAAATTGCCTGTGTTTAAAAAACCTGTCAGTATGGAAATAGTGCTGACATGAGGGGTTGAGCAAATCGTGGCACTTGATCAGCACTACTGAGTGACCTTTGGTGTTTTATGGCTTGAACTACCTCACTAGTCTGCCCACACGATGCCCCATTTTTAGTAGTTTAAATCGTTTTGCATGCTGTATCTGAACGCCAGATACATCACGTTTATCTGCGCTGTGTGTCTTGCAGAACACCCTGTGCACCCAAAAGTTAAAAGATCAACAACAACTCCCCACAGAAAACATGTCAATGCAACTTCTTCACTGTATAAAACAAAAATAAGGGAAGGTTAGTGGTGTTCTTGCCAAACCTGTCTGACAGCAGAGAATGGCATCAGCCCTCCAGTGTAATGACTGAAATGGAAAACAAGTTTTTCTTCATCTAGCAAAGGGTATTAGTTACTGTCATAAGATTTATCTCGCTTTGGATCAAAGCATCTGCTGAATGAGTAAATGTAAAGGTAAGTCTAGACAAGTCAGTTAGATCACTGACAGTAGCTGACGTCTAGCTTACGTCTAGCTGACGTCTTTCTTGTCTCATGGTAGTAAAAGGAGAATTCCGGTGCTTCTGACTGTGCAGCTTAAGAAAAACAGAGTGGTACACCTCACATTTTCAAGCCTTCAAGGTTTGCTGTATCATTGGGCCTTGAGCGTCTTTTTGAACTGTGACTTTTCTAGAGTGAGAATACCTGGCTTCTTCCGCGGCGTCTGTAGTTCCTCCGCACAATGTTCTTATAGTTTTCATTCTTTTTGGTCAGGTAGTAAAACAGCACACACTCTGCCACCGTCTGAAACATGAAAAATATGTCATTTAGCAACAGTCATTCCCTGAGAAGACAAGATGTCACAGAACACCAACAAAAAAAAAAAGAAAAGAAATCTGGAAAAAAAAAAAGAAAAAAGAAAAAAAAAAGAATACCTTTCTCTCCAGAAAAGACGCAATCAGACCAAAGTTTTTGGGGTGCTGGATGAACCTGTGGGAGCAGAGCAAAGAAACATTAGCAATATGCTAATGGAAAGATTGAAAAATCATTGGCATTTGCTGAAGATCTCTAAAAGATCACAGAATAACACAAAGAGAATGGCTGAGGAGGTAACATCAGTGCTGATGCAAAAAAACAACAACAAAAAAAAAAAAACAGAACAAATCCACCGCATCAATTATTAAATATGACACTGGACAGTCTTTAATGATCAAATATCTTACTGTATGTTTTGGATCAGAATTGTTGGGATATCAAACGTGGGTAGAATTTAAAAGCACTGATTTTACTGTGTGGCTTTAATTTGATTTGGCAGCTTGAAACGCCTCCTCTCGCTTCTCACGAAAGGGGAAGATTCACTTCCTTACCAACAACTTACTGACCCTTTATCTGTCACACACACTTATTCTTGTTGCTTAAAAAGAAACACTTTGACTAATAAACAAGAGTGGAGCTACAACCTAATGTGGCATTTGATGAATTCTCTTTGATTAAAGAGTTTAATGTAATAAGTCTGGGTGCAAAAATGCCTAATGCCAAAATGTTGTCAAAGATTTTATTTTATTTTATTTTTTTAAGTGTATTTTGCCCAACAAATCCTTGTCTAGCTGCTGGGAAACATAGATAAAAAGGATATATTTTTTCTATTCAAAGAAGATTAAATCATATTTTCCATCATGACTTTACTGAAGTGTTCTGCTTACTTCTCTCTGAAAGTGTCCTTCTCCTGTTCGCTCCACATGTTCATAACCTGCCGGTCCTTGTACACCTTCATGGGGTCGTCCATCAGTCCATTCATGTTGATGAACTTGATGCGTTGCTGCTCGGCGTCGAACAGCATGGGAGGGATGACCGCCAGCTGTCGCATTTGCTTCTCTGTGTTCTGTCGTAAACAAATGCCAAACACAGAAACCGAGATCCTGGGGTAAGTGGGCTGGTCTCGAGAAGGAAAGTATCTGACAACACCGTGCTTATACTGATATGCACTATATGAAACCTGATGTGGTGCCACGCTTTGTTTTGAAGTGTGACAGAGTTCAGGAGAGGAACTTTAGGGTGTCTCGTTAGCTCAACAGGCTGAGGCGTGTTTCCTGTCAAATGTAAACTTCTCTACGACTGTCACTCTGTGATTTACAGCCGAATAAATATAAGATCATGTCTGAGGTTAGAAAAGGGGAGGGGAGTAAGGGAAAAGTGCTGGTTCATTGAGAAGGCAGGAGATTAGAAAGCATTTCTTGAAATGAGAAAAGATAATCAAACTGGACACACAGATCAGCTTAATGGGACGAGGCTGACATGAGCAGTGGATATCATGGTCATGAACACAATTATCCTCAACACTGAGAGTAGTAACTCACATTGTAGGAGTCTGACACCACAGGCCTTGCAAATCCCCTACCTATGCTGACTTTAACATCTATAATAAGTAAGATTAGGCAACCATCATTTTTTCTCTACTGGACTTAAAATGCGTGAGCTATGAACATTAGAATTTTTGAAGCACAACTACGGCAACCCTGTCAGCCCAAACAGCATGAATTTGGTTGGTATGTTTTAAGTCAAGTCAAACCAGTTTTATTTATATAATTTGCTTCAGAGGGCTCGAATAACTACAAAGAAATGCTGTCTTAGACCAGACTGACACTTTTGATGCTGAAACCAAAAGCAGCCAAATCTAGACGGAAGCCTTTGAAGCCCATGCTGACATTTACCATACTCTCCCTCGAAGCTTAGATCCATCATGGAACTACTATAATGTGGATGTGTACATGGACAATAATTACTGTTGCACCAGCAGCTGACGCTATGTGTCGACTGCTCACATTAGACCATAAAAAAAAGAGGCAGTAAAAACTATCAAAGTTTTGGGAGCATTTCAATGGAAAGCAGCTGTGCTTGCCGCTGGGCTGTGGTGGCCTTTAAAGGCTAGTATTTAGCTTTGGCTAGCCCTACTAACTTAGCTACCACAAATATTCCAATGGCATAGCAGCTGAGAACAAGCCCTCAGTGTGAGCTGGTAGCTGTGAGTGGAACCACAGTGGCAAAAGGCTAACCCAGTAGAACAGCTGTGGTATGTGACAATATTTACTGGCATATGCCACAGACACAGAACTGTGTTGCAGTGATTTAAAAAGGCTAGAGCTGCGTTTCATGGTGGAGGAGATTTTATGTGGCTCAGGTCTTATCTTTTGGCAGCACCTGGAAGTTGCTTGACCTCATCCTGGAACATTTTCTTCATGTACAGTATGTTTACCAGCTATAATGTTGTTATCCTGATTGTCCATACTTTGAATGTTCTATGTGCTCTGTTCTGTACACATGTCTGTCAGTCCAGGAGGAGGGATCCCTTCCCTGCTCTACTGCTCTTCCTGAGGTTTCTTCTTTCTTTTTTTTCTTGTTAAAAGGTTGTTTTTTTGTTTGTTTTTTAGTCAAGAGTTTTTCATTATATGACTCGATGGTCTATGGACATGTCATATCATATTTAATCATATATGTCATATGCTGTATAGACTGTGAAAGTGCCTTGAGCCTAATTTGTGACAATGGGATATATAAATAAAATCTGACCTGACTTTTGACCCGACATTCTTGCTTTGCTTGCCTTTTTATTATCTTGACTACCGTTTTCAGAAAATAAAATTCAACAATATTCATGATATTTCATGTTTTTGCATGAAGAAGACAATAACATCATTTTACAGAGACCTGGCCTAGGTCATTTCTGTTATTTACTCCTGCTATTAAGAAATACTTAAGTTCTCAAAATAATCAATAGAATAGTTAATAATGAAAATAATACATAGTTAGAAAATTAGCACATATGGCATATAAATAAATTTACAGGAGCCCTGCACTTTTATAGTCTAAAATTATCACTGAGACACCACAGACACCACAGGTTTCATTCCTGGCAGCGGTGCCAGTTTCGACTCAAAACAATCAGACATCCAGATGTCTGGCCAACATCGTCATTTAAAGCTCAAGAGCACGACAAGTTGCCAAAGAGCAAGTGGAGGGGCAAACCATCTTAACATAACATAATTCAACAATAACAGTGGAGCTTACCTCATGCTCCGATATTCCATCAATGATCTCAGAAACCTCATGTTCGCTGCGAGCTGCAGACGACGTCAGCCCACCTCCCCGCTGCCCAACACGGCTACAAAAGGAAAAACACAGAGGAGCCGTCACTCAAAACTACCCACTCATCACTGTAATTGAGCCACTTACATTACACAATGAAATAAATCCACATTCATTCTTTACATAACTGCAGTAACTAGGCAACAAATGGAAGTGATTAAGTCAGTTCCAGAAATTAACTGTGTCTTTTTACTCTGTTGAACAATCAGGGACTCCATGTTGTAAGAGGGAGAACCATCCTGTAATCTCACCTCTGCATGCGCTCCTGCAGCTCTCTCTGCTTGCGGATCTCTGGGAACTGTTTCTCGTAGTACTCCCGCACCTTGCTCTCCTTGGCTCGGCGCCGCGGGTTGTTTTCGATGCGCTCCACCTTCTTCTCCCAGGCTTCCATCAGCTGGTCATAGCGCTGGCAAAATTTCTGTTCCTGAAGCACAGAGAAGGGGAAGATTTCAATCCACAATATCTCTTTCTATGTCTTACCTTAGATTTCCAGGCACAAAACTAACAGACCACAAAGTCTGAACGTTTAAAAAATTAGCAATAAAAAAAGCAGTGATGTCTCAGACTGTCCTAACATTCGATATTTATATTCAGTAATCTTCCTTAGCTCTCAGTCTCTCTGGTGTCTCCCACCATGCAACTCTACATGTCAAGAGGGGGCAAAGTGATATGTTGCTATTCTATGGGGGGGTCTGGCCTTGAGCCATGGCTGTGGCAGACGACAGCCCACTGTTTTCCCAGCTTCCTCACAGGCAGGCTGTAAAGCAGACCATTAACCCTGGTGCAGACACGACCCTCAGTAGGCTCGTAAACCACAAGGTGATGTCTCCCCGCACTCTGCCCACGAGGAGCTACCTCCCCCACTTAGACGCAACACGAGAGCAGACTCGACGCTCACATGCTTTTGATAAAGGTGCTGCATTTGAAAACGGTTCTTCCTGACCTCACATAAACCTGAAATACATAATAAATGCAGAGCTATGGGGCAGCTGTTGACGGCACCATCTCCAAGGCTGGAAGCAGTTTAAAAACAGCCATGATCCTCACATTTGGATACGCGCAAATTTCATGATAAAACTGTGGACTTGATTTGCAATAATGATTTTCTGTCAAGACAGTTGATTTTAAGATGTCCGTCTAGCTCTAGCATCAGAACCCCCCCCCCCCCCTATTGATCTCTGCTTTATTTATAGTCATGCTCTTTGGCTCAGTCTCGCTCAATCACTGGCAGAAAAGAGCAGCTACTAACCCTGTACAGTGCTCATTTTAGTGGCTGGCAGACGTATTAAAGAAAATCTAGGTTTTTCTTTCAGGTGATAGTATGTGAGATTATTATTTTGTTTTTCAAAAGCAATCACTTCCACAGGGCACAGTCACTGTACTGACAGATCCATTCCTCTCCGGTCTGCCTAAAATGGCCACTCGCGTCAAGATGCACCCAGCACAGTTTCACTCTAGTCATCGGTCATGGGCTGAGTCCCAGCAGCAGAGAGTCAAAAATATTGAGTTCTCCACTTACCCACTGCTTACGAGCATGATTTCTCCTCTTGAAGTATAGGATGAGCTTCTTCCTCATTGCCTGGTTTCTGAGAGATTGAAGGCAGAGAGGCATGAAGAAAACAGAGGGGCAGAGGAATAGACAGAAAGGCATATGGTGAGCACATTCAGGGAAACACACTCAATTCAGACAATGCTTTGGCTTTCATTACATTTGTCACATGATTAATCTAAGGATCTGTGTTCTCCAGATCCGTAGGTACACATGTTCTCCCTGCTGCACTTTTTCTGCCTCACTTCTTTATCCAATAAATAAACCACAAAAAAAAAAAAAAAGCACTTGTACACACACACACACACACACACACACACACACACACACACAGACAAACACAAACAATGCTTGTCCTTGTATGCCACCACTCGGTAAACTCAAACTTGCTTCTGGGTGGAAAGGACAGCGAGGGGAGCCAAACTTATAAAACTTGTCTGGGCTGGGAACAGCCAGCCACAGTGCTTCAAATAAAGGTCAGGGCCAGTAATCTCCTTAGGCAGCCACTCAGTTTGTCTCTTTCTCTGCTCCAAGACAGAGTTTTATTCCTGACACTTAATCTGTCAGTTGTAAGGTCACGTTCCCCACTGATTAATGTAATCTTATTCTACATTAGTCACTTCGGCTGAGCCGCAGGGTCCCTCGGGTCACAGGCAAGGACAGAAGACGAGGAAGTGGGCTACCCATGGTGTATAAGTTTGGTGAAAATTGGAAGATAGCATGACAACATTTAGGGTTTAGGATGATAAACACACAGAGGACGATCCATTCTCCCAAACATGTTATCTGCAATAACAAACCCAAGTTAAATCTAAACAGCCTTAACCCCCAGCCTACATAAACACTCCCACACACCGACACATACAAACAGACACATACTAAGCCAAGCCATTGCAGATAGATAAACACAGCCAAATCCAGCTAGATGCTGTGGATATCTACACATACTGTGGCATATGGGCGAGAACTAACTTGGTATAGCAAAAACAGGTTTAATAGATTAAGCCCTTTAAAGACAGAGATGGCATTGTCCTCTGGACACCAGATGGCAAAGGGAAAGATTAGTAGCCCTGAACCCCTACCAATGGTTTCCTTTGTCCTGCTCTAAGCCTGTGCCATTTCTGAGATATCAGAGAACACTGTAATTTGGCATAATACCTCCAAAACATGATGGCTGAAAGACTCATTATACACGCACTTGGGGCAGATGTTCTCCAGTGGTACAACCACACTTCAGACTTCAAACTTTGATTTTGTCTTCATAGCACTCTGCATTTATCATCAGCTGAGTAGTAACAGCACTGTGTGCGCAGGAGACAAATTGGGATGGAGACTCAGATGCTGAGCACTCCACAGAGAAATGGTACTCATCTATCCGGGCAGGGATGAGTGCCAAGGTTATCAAACCGGTTAGCAAAACAAAGGAGTCAATTGTGCCGGCTCAAAGCAACATAGTGGTATTTAATAACACACACACACGGAGGGAGAGAGGAGAGTTTCCAGTTAATTGCTTTGAGGCAATAATACTGATCAAACGGTGCAGGGATCAAAAGGAGTGAAGACAGAGCAGTGTGCGGCTAAGAGGTCAGATACATCTTGTGGTATGCCACTGTGCCCGAAACACAGTGCCAACGGTGGAGACAAGCTATTATAACCCTCCTGCAGCCCTTTGAAGTGCCCCAGTGAATTATGGTCCTTAAAAGATTACAGATGCACATAAGCCTTCCTGATAGACATGGCAGGCAAAGTTGTGTATTCTCTGCTCCCCGAACTGCAGATACCCACTTACATACAAAATTGACATGATTTATTAATCATTCACGTAATGCAACCTTGGATGCTGAGAGAGGCAGTCTGCTGTTAATATTTCATGTCATAATATCGGAGGCAAAAAATGAAATCAATGGTCATTCTAGTCCATTTTCAGAAGCATTTTTGTTTTTTTCACCAATGTAGCTTTAGCACAGCTGAAGCTCTGTTAGCAGCAAGACTTCAAATATGACCTATTATACCTTTGCATCGGCCTACGCAAGTGATGCAGATTTGTAACCTAAATCCTGTTTTGTTTTTTTTGTTTTTTAAGCTATCTTTTAGCCTTTTTGCCTTTACTGTTACAGTACAGTGAGAGGGACACAGGAAAAGTTAATGAAGAGAGAGAGAGGGAATGACAAAGGGCCGCAGGTCGGACTCAAACTCATGGTTGCTGCAGTTAGGACTAAGCCAATGTGGTACGCGCTCTACCAGGTGAGCCACCGAGGTGCCCCTAAAGCCTGTTGTGACAACAATATAAATATGACTTAAAACAAGTCTACCATCTTGTTAGCTCAGTAGTGGTGGTAGCTAACAGACCGCAGCTGGTAGACATATTCCAAAGTGTACAAAAATAAATTCTGTCATATGAAATTACTGAAGTGATTACTGATTACTGATCACTTCTAGTGACAAATTCAAGGCCCTCACAACAAAATAACGGCGAAGTTTCAATCAAACTGAAGATCAAATAGGAGAAAACTCAAAAACTTTAATCCTGTGTCAAATTCAGGATGAATGAAGGCAAAAAATTGACACTACACTTACATTATTATAGACATGCATTCAAACTCAATTGACAGAACTAAAATAATAGCATTTTCTTAGCTTAGCACAGTTTCACTGACAGTGCACCTCCTTTTCCTGAAGGCATCTGCACTATTTTTTTCACTGTCTGTAGCTGCCCTCGTTACACCTGTTTAGTCCAGTAAGTTTCATTACTAAGTTTAAATAATGACAATTTCACATCCCCCTCTGAAATGCTATACTCTGCAGTCTGCCAACACAGGGGTGGGGGACTTTACAGAGAATTTAAAAAAAATACAAGGATGTAATAAAACAGCATATGCACCAGTGATATTATTTCATGGCCCTAAATATGGGTTCAAAGTTATTACATTTCTGAACAAAGAAATATCTCCTATGAATACAATCAATAACAGGCAGGGTTCTTCAACATTCTCTGTCCTATTACACTTTCTCATGACTGCAGCAATCAGAATTGTTTGGTGAATTTGAGTTTGGTTTGCTCTGGTATTTGATTTTCAAGGCCATCACTATGGCTTCAAATGCATTATTTGAAAATGATTATATACAGTATTTCCCTACAAAACATTTGTATCTTAAACATATATATACATAACACACGTCTTAGAGATCTGTGGTGAGCTCCTCTCCCAACAGTTAAACTCTTCAGCAGTTTGTATCCTTCAGTGGGTCTATGTAAAACATTTCTCCATGTATAAGTGTTCAGACATTTACAGCAACAGACTCACATTTTGATGTTCTCATGGTACTGCTTGGTATCCGAGGGCTGATTGTACAGAGGCTGGGAACGGGAGAAGAAACAAGCAGATCAAAGAATCAGTTATATTTTCAGTTGTGAAACAGATTGCAAACAGCTGAAATTCAACAGCAAGACACATGAAGGTCAAAATGACGGACAATCACTCCAGCATCTCTTCAATATGATTCTGACCTAGCCACAGATAAATGTAGGATTTCAGTTTTTGCATAAATGGTCATCAAATCACAAGAGTGAGTCAAAGCTCTGACTGACAGAAGTGCAATATCTCGATCTAATGCAACATGTTGCCCAGGCTGTATAGGCAATTTCTGCAACAGAACCAGTGAGTGTCTGTGTGTGGTGCAGTGAGATAGACAGGCAGCTAGAATAACAGACAGATACAGTATGTGTGAGAATATGTGACAAAAACAAAGTATTATTGCAATCAAAGACACGCTTTGAATATGGATCAGAGAAAAATGTCCTGATTCTGGAAATGTAGTGACTGTTCTGCCTGGTTCTGTTTCTACTCTCAGAAACATTTCATATTGCATTCTGATGTTACTCAATGTTCAATATCAATGTGTTCAATATTGCTTAATGGAGCTTTGAGCACAGAATATATTCAAATATTTTTACTTCATTTTATACCAGTGCTGGGGACATCATGTGTTTCACTTTCGCTCCTTGTGTCTCCCTAACATCCTTTATCTCTCCAACCTGACCCTCAATAAAAATGTTCCCACATGTCAATAATGCAGAGACATGAGAGTGGGACAAAGAATAACACAGAAAAGGCATGAAAATCAAAGACTCCACTCACCAGTTCTACCCTGGGTCCCAGTCCCTCCAGTATCCTGTGAGCCTCTTCTGCCTTTTTCTGGTGAGGGAATACAAACATAAGTAGTACATTAGCCAGCTGCCTGCACCTCTGTCATCACCACGGCAACGCAGTGAGCACGCTCACTTGATCACAGAGGCTACACCACACTGCTCGCTGGACGGACGGACGGACGGACAGACGGACGGAATCCTGGATGTATGGATGGGTGGATGGATGATTAGATGGAGAGATGGATGCACTGACTATTATTAGAGCTTTTATCTCAAGCTGGGCCACAGCTCCCTCTCTCCTCTCCCAGAAAAAAAAAAAGAAAAAAAAAAAAAGATTACTCACCTCCCCTGAGCAGAGAGAGAAGGAGCAGGCAGGCAGGAAAGTGGGAGTGGAATAGAAAGTGAGTGGGAGAGAAAGAGCAAAAAAAAAAAACAGGGAAAGGGGGGGGGGGCTAAAGGGCTTTGGTGCTTATCTCATAAGAGACATCTGATGAAAGACAGAGAAAGATCTCACCTCCAGCTCACTACCTACAACAATCAGCCTCTTAAAACAAAAGCTCCTGGCAGGGACCATAAAGCAAGAAAGGAGAGGTGTTGGGGCACGGAGATGGGCAGCAAAAAACTCCCATCTATGTCTTTGGATGACCTCTCTGCAGCTCTGCTCCTCCATACATTTATATTTAGCTCCAGCAGACAAATGTATGAGCAGTGTCCCAGACTACACCTCTCAATGTTCGCTCCACTCTTTTCCTCATTCCGCTCTGTACGCTCTCTCCGCTTCATCGATCAAACAGACCCTGCTTGGTGACACACCACATGCTCCGTTGCTTTCCATCTCACTTCATTTCCTTCAGTGGCCATGCAGTGAGACTGGCAGGACTGACACATCCACAGAGAGGATGGAGGTATGGGGGGAGAGAGAGGAGGGGGGTGGGGGTGGGGGGGGTGGATGGAGAGGAGGATGTGGGAAGAAATTTTCAGAGTGATAACCAGAGACAGAACTTCCTGTTTGTGTGGTGTGTGTGTGTGTGTGTGTGTGTTGTGTGTGTGTGTGTGTGTGTGTTGTGTGTGTGTGTGTGTGTGCGTGCGTGCTGCGTGTGTGTGTGGTTTGTGTGTGTGTGGCGCGTGTGCGTGGCCCGTGTGCGTGTCAACCTTTATTTTTCACCGCCCACCATGTCATGCTGCTTCCTTGTCCCTTTCACTCTGTCTTCACTGTGGAGGTAACACAGGAGGTGTTTGGGATCTACTCCTGAGTTTATGCAAGACTCACGCTAACAGACTCGGAAGTAAGACCCCAGAGGAGCTCACGCACACAGCTTACCTCGACTCAACACAGGCTTCCAACTGGGTCACCTGTGAGGGAAGCCAAATGACATGGCTCTCGTTTTTAAAGTGCCCTGTTCATTTCCTCTAGGTTTCCGTGAGGCAGAAGGAAGCACTGATGATTTACATTTATACTTATTAAAACATAACATTCAAATGCAAATACAATGACATGATGCTATTATTATTCCTTAAGTTGTTTTGCATTGATATGCCCCCCCCCCCCCTCACTCCTGTTGCTTCCTCACCAGTGAGTAGGTGTAACAGGCTGCAGAGTATTGCCTCAGAGAGCTTGCTCACTACAGGAGCAGTTAATGAGCAGCAATTATTAAAAGCAGCCTTTCATCCTTAGGGAGTAGGAAAGCTCAAGGATTTCTCTTCATTTCCTGGCCGCGATTCTTTCAGCAAATCCGAAAAAAAAAAGGCTGCATGATACTGACCTCAAAACTCCTGGAGTGTGACTTCACATTAAATACTAGAAATGACAAACTTAGCAATCAAGAGAGGAGGGTGGATAAGATGCAATATTACCTTTTCTCTAAAGGTGTGGTTAATTACGCTGAGAGAACTGCCCTCTTGATCCACACACAAAACCACATCACAAGACCCAAGTACAGAGGCTGCTCCATTACTTTAATCATGCCCCCTCCCTGTGGCAGCACACAGGACTGCTGCTCTGGCAGTGGCATTATAAGCTGTAAAGCTTGCAGTTGTACTGTTGTACAAGCTGCCTGCTGTCAACAAGACATTTTCCCCGGCGTATCACATGATCCCTGAAATGAAATGTTGAACTTGAGCTTAGGACAAACCTATGAAAATAACACTGTCGATGCTTCTGTGACTAAAATCACAACACTACAAATGATTCGTATCTCCCCTAAAGGGAAAACGGAGAGAGAAAAACATGGAAAACAGAGAGTGGCGAAGAAAGAACAGAGCGAGAGAGAATGCTCTTTAAGGACGTCAATATGGCACAGACACGAGGATTTAGCACAGCTCAACAGAATTATAATAATGCAGTCTCAGTGGGGCTGTCTTTTCTTGTGTTCGTGTCCATGACTGCGATGTCCCAAATATGAGAAGAGTGAACTTGAGTTGAGCCATCCCCGGGGTTTGACAATGGGCTTGTCGCTAGAAATGCGGCTGTAACCCTGTCTGAGAAAGCTGGTGACACTGAGCCCAGAGGGGACAGACGACACCGTGGTGACACCAGCTCAAAAAGGCCCGCTGAAGCTGAAGTAATTATAGCCAGGTGCTTAAACACACATACCAATATATACGCGCACCACAGGCCTGACATGTAACATTAAGCTTTAATGCGATGTTATCGCCCTGTTTAAACATAACCTGTTCATGTGCCATGGGCAGACTGGACACCTAACTGATATAAAAAAAAAAAAGTCAAGCTTAAATACATTCAACAATTTTTTTGAGACAGATGCTGAAAATGTAAATGTAAAATGTAAATGCCTCTGTCTCTCCAAGGTGCATACCCAGTCTTTACTCCTCCCAAAGCATGGGAGGAGGACATGGTCTGTCTTTGTGACAATAGAGGTTGAAGTGACACTGAAAATCAGCAAAGCCGCTCGAGCAACTTAAAACTATCACAATTGTACAGACAGGTGACAGAGAGTCAAAGCGTTTTTTAACATTCATGATCAGTCCAACCACTGAGTTACCTGTGTGGGTGACAGAGCTTTGATCTGTATGGGGAGAGTGAGAGGCCGTGAAGATGAGCAAAACATTTGTGTCATTCACATTCACAGACCATCCATGCAGGTGGTCTGCTAGATTATGGACAGTTGTTAGCTAGCTAGCTAGCTAGCCGAACTGCTGCTGTGTAAGAAATGTGTAAATGGGACCTAGGTAATGCTCATTAATAAGGGATTAACAAATAATAAATGTTACAGTGATTAAAAGAATTAATATGAATATGAGTGGATGAGTAAATGCTACAGTGTCACTGCAATAAGGTTAGTGTGGGTAAAGGGGAGAGAGACAGAGAGAGTGAGAGAGAGCGAGAGAGCGAGAGAGAGAGAGAGCGATAGCGAGGTTAAGGGGGCAGGCAGTAGGCCAGAGTACATCCTGCCAGTCAGAGGGAAGTGGAAAGTGTTACAGAGGTCAGGCTACATGGTGGAGTAAGCTATGAGTCATTCTTAAACTAGCCTTTCAGATGAGTCTTGAGCAATCTTGAGTCTTGCTGTTGTATACAAGTGCTGTGATTTAGCTGCGCTTGGTGACCGCAAGGGAGCGAGTCATGAAGGACACTCCCTGTGCTGTGGTGGTGTTCTCTTTAAAAGGGCCTCTCAGGGCATTTTGGTGATTATCTGGAAGCATCTGTGCAGGTTAGAGCAAAGTGTCACTGCACCATTCCAAGAACTGTGAAGGATTTAGTCTCTTTCTCAATGACACTTAAGCAGGGTGAACGCTTGCTTGCCAACATGTGGGTTTTAAACTAGCTTCTCCACTTGGATTTCTACTTTTTCTACACTGCTTTGCCCTTCTTTAAAAATCATTTGCTTTGAATCTGTCAGGGAAGCTGTTCAAAACATTCAAGAGCCGTTTTCCTCTGAACTGTGAGGTTTTAACATTACTCCTAGTTTCCCACAGGGGGTTTGTTCAAAGAGGTTAAATGTGGGGTGTGATACTGTGTGAGGGGAGTTCCCTGGTTTAAATGCCAATTCCAATAAAAAGGAGACTTGTGCATTTAACCACTAGGGGGGCTGAGAGCACTGAGAATCACTCCATTATAAAAGGTAATCTTCTGCCCAGTGCACCACTGCATGTAATGATTGCTGTGACCGGGACCAACTTAACACTTCCAAACAGCTTTATACGACTTCCCGGGTGAACTGCTTTTCTTTTCTTGAAAGAATGATTATGTTTCTATACCTGCACAGATGATAAAGGACAAAGATTTATGTCAGTGTGCGTCTGTGACACCTCATAGAGTGTGCATGTGTACGTCAGTGATTCATCATGCTTGCTACGCTGACCTTTAGTAGCTTATTCTGTTAGGCAAGAGCTCTGCCTCGCTTGAAAGTGAAGAGTGGGAGACTGAGGTAGGAGATGAATACTTTGTGACACAATCTGCTTTCATTGACAGGGTTTTTTGAGATTACATCAAACAAGGTCAACGAAAATGACGGATCTCCAAGACCAAAAAATATCCTCTGCAAACAAATACGAGTCTCCTCAGAGCCCCAGTATTGTGTTCACTGTTATACACAATTCAAGACTTTTACACTTTGTCAATGAAATGTGATGAAAGAAGCACACAACATGTGGCTGTGGTCATGGTAAAATTAGGGACTTTTATTTTATTCAACAAAGGTGTACCTGCTGGGCCAACTCATTTACCTTACAGACACCATGAGGTAATCTCCAACACTGGCAAGCTGCCCTGTCCCTGACATGGGAACCAAATAACCATACCAGGCACCAGAGAGTATTCAGAGCCAGGCTTAGTTTAATTTGTTATCTTGCATCAGCCCAGTGAAATTGCACTGAACCATGGAGTTCAATTCACTTGTGGTAATGAATACACTGCATATGTGATCAAGTGAAACCAAACTCAAAAGCAAGGTCATTTTGACTTGAATAGTGTGCTACCTATTGAGCATTTGGTGTGTGTGTGTGTATATAGTACTGACCCTGTTCTCATCATAGATGATCTGCACCAGGCTGCGGTGCTTGGCCTCACTGGGTGGCGGTGAGATGGGCCGCTCCGGCTCATGAGGCTTTGCAGCCTCCTCCTCCAGCTGTTGCTGTAACACACACAAACACAGACATGACGGTTAATACTTAATACTACTGATCTACCAGGAAGACCTGTGGCTCACCAGTTCCTGTTGCAAGGTTCAAGAGTGTGCATTACAGCAACCATCCCTCCCCCAGCTCTCCAGCAGGGACTAGACTAACTGTCCTATTAGCTGTAATAGCTATTAACTCCCCAGGGCCTAGTTAATCAAAGAGTTACCACAACAGCCTGTAAACAAAGCCAGTGCCTGCTGTGCGGCTGGAATATCCAACGAGAGAGAGAAAATTAAAAGAGAGAGAGAGAGAGAGAGAGAGAGAGAGAGAGAGAGAGAATGGGGGACATGCAAAAGTAAAATTAAGTGGGGGGGGAATGTGGGAAATCAACACCAGACAAATACTGGAAAACAGCAGAGTTCCTCTAACTTACTAGTCACCCTGGCTTGTAACCAACCATTATTTCGAAGTATTGTTTACTGTGAGCGGTGAGCAAAGAAATCCACAGCAAGCTGGAATTTGAGGGGTGTCAGAGAACTAAAAGAGAGAAACTTGCAGGGCTGGGACCCATCAACCTTTATGTTGCACTGCCAGTCATGTACAGTTCAGTCAGTGCTTCCTTGTCCTTCAATCATCCCCTTGAAGGTGTACAGAGGGGAAAGTGGGGAAACCTGTTCTGACATTCAGAAAGAAGCAGAACAGCACATAGAAAAAATAGCAGCGTTTGGCTCCAATAGCCCTTTTATATGTAGACACTTCTTGGCAGATTGGATAGCTATCAGAAACCGTTAAGCTAAGTGTGAATACAAGCAAGAAGCCTGAGTGAGGGATGGCAATCTGACTGCATATACTATCCAGATGTTGAAAAGGCGTAAATGGACCTGTCAGCATCATTAATCCTCCCACACTTAACTATGTCAATAAGCAGCATGTGGAAGTACCGGCTTCTTTCCGCCGGTGATAATGACAGGCGATAATGAGACAAAAAGTATTTAAACATTTAAATTATTTATACATTGAATTTTCCAGTGTGACACAGAAAGGAGCACTTTACAACATACTGTCGTAAAGAAGGCCCGAGTTGCTGTGTGTATCATGCGTCATATGAGCAAAACCTCTGTCTTGCCAACTATTTAGCAGTGCAGCTCATCGTGTGTGTGTGTTAGTTACTTGTTGGCAAGCAGTTTTAGCACAGGTTGTTGAGTTAGACTTTCTTCACTCATAGTACAGAAATACTGATGTGAATTAAATCATATCTGAATTTCATCTGAATATACACAAGCATAAAGGAGGAAAATGGGCCTTGGTATTTGAAAAGCAAATTATCTCTCTGGTTGGAAACTTTTTATTGGAAGATATAATAGAAAAATCTTGAAAGCACCCAAACCAAAATCTATCTATGTTTTGGCTTAATTTCAGTAAATTCACATAAAGTTTAAATTTCATACCCTATTCAAAGTCAATAAAGAGATGTTTTTCCCTTCTGTTAAAGGGAAAAACACCAAGAACATTTTCTTTGTCTCTATTGAAGCACAAGCATTAGAGTCACTAACTTTGACAAACATCACAAAACTATCAGCAAAAATAACAGTTTACTCGAGCAGGCATAAAAACCCTGTGGCTTTAAAAGGTAAAACTTGAGTCTTTGACATTGTTATTTTCCTGAAAATGTTTGGACACAGTCTGTGTGCAGGCTGTAAGCTGGAGACAGAAGTAGAGAGGATCCAGCTGTAACTAGCTGTCTGGAGGCCGAGGCCTAGTGACTCCAGTGTGTGTTTAGCTGATCTACAGTTAAGTCAGCCCCCCTGCTACCACCTCCCCCCTTGCTCCTACTCCTCCTTCTCATCTCCTGTCAGGGGCTTCAAAAGGGGAAAGAAGGCCTCCAGAGAATCCACATGAGAGCAAAGCAAGATGGATCATCATGTGTCCTGATAGGCCTGGATAAGCATCTGGTGAGGGAAACACAGACATTCCCATAGAGACCCCCCCCCCCTTCCCTTCCCTTTCCAAACCCACCACAGAGTAAAATAAAATAAACCAGCCATCCTGAGCTTGGCTGACACGACACAGGCTGGCGGTAACCTAAGCCCTAAGCCCCACCCATCCACTACCTCTGCCAGCACTCTCTAAATAAAGTTTTACCGTGCCACTTAATTAGTCCAGATGTTTTAATGCTTGAAGAGAGTCGGACTGTAAAAAAATATCCATAAAAACACTTGATTTATGCTTGTAAACGGCAGATCTTAGCTTTTCAATCATTCATAATTTTCAAACCCATGGTTGGAATATGAGTTTACTTTGGTTCCTGTTGCAATTTGGTAAAATACCCAGATTCATTAATACTAAACCTTCTCTATTAACAAATATTTAGAGAACAAGTTTCCTATTTTTATTCGACAGCCAGCAGGTTTAATGTAGCTATCAGACGATTTTATCAGCTGTAGCTAATTCATGTTAACCTGGGCGTTCGAAACTAATCTAGGTTTTCCCTTCACATTATTTTCAGTTACTACAACAATGTTTAAACTCAGCATAATTAGCACTTTAAGCCAATCAGATCAACAGTTATGAACCTTCTGTGAAGTAGCTTGACATCCTGTGAAACCAGTGTAAGCACAAGTTGCTACAGTGAAGAGATGTGAATAATATAATAAAATGGTCAAGAGTTATTTCATCAGCTTTCACCCTATCAGATGAAACTGACCGGTCATTTTACAAGAGCAACACACGTGTCTATGATCAATAAATTCACCTAATGCTATTTTTTTTTTTTTTTTTAGTAATAATTGAGTGTTATGACAGCATCCATGGTGGAGGAGGGACCCTGGTGGAAAAGAGTGAGCTTGACTACACAGTTTCTCCACTGAACATGGCAGGCGGCCAAAAAGGAGACAGTGTGGCAGGGATATGAGTGGTTTAGCAGTCAAAAAAACCTCCACCATAATCCTCCTCCTCCCCCGGGGAAGCTGTTATTTATAACCTTATATATTTTTAACCTACTTTTCTCCTAAATAAAAAGCCAAAGAGAAGAGAAGAGAAGAAAAGTGGGAATGCAGCTGCCTGGAGGAGTGCGTGTACAGAATCGTGCTACATTGAGCAAGAAACAGCTACAAGCTTGAATGCAGCGATTACAACACAGCAAAGTCTGTTTAAGACTTTATTGCACCAATGCCAACTATAGCCTGGCAGGGAAAGTCACATTGGAACACTGCACATTGAACATTTCAAACAAGCTAAACGCTGCCACTAAGAAAATTCAACAAGGATGCCAGCACTGGCAAAGAGTTACACATCTACAAGCATGACGAATAAACACTTTGGTACCTGATAGTTCCTGCTCAAAATATGTGCGGAATGCACATTAATGACATCACACTGTGTATACTTAACTTTCTTCACTGTCACATATCATCTCCTCTCACAGGTTGGGCATAAAATAACACCATGAAAAATAACTTCTAAGAACCTAAACACCACTAAAAACACTTCTCCAAATCTGGGTCATATTCAGCTACATGCCAACCTGTACCTGCCTTCCTTCCTTGATCGCATTCTAAGAGGGTCACATGCACTGCAAACACATTTCTGCCACTTTCCTATCATAATGAAAGAATGTAAATACCTTTGCATATGAGAGATTTTTACAACTCATTATATATCCTCTTTTCAGTAGATTAGATTGGCACTAGACAAATATGTATTTTGTGGTTTGTAAAGTTATTTCTGGTGCATATGTTCCCACCAAACATTCATCTAGTGCTGCAGTAGTACAATAACAATCAACAAGTTAACAGAAATATAAAATCAGTTCCCACACCAGAGGCATTCACAGCAGGACTGCCAGGATTCCTCAACAAAACTCAAAGAGCTAAGCAGGAAAACATTAGATGACATCAGCCTGCAATTTCTAAATTCTAAGCAAGCAAGTTTGATCTGTGCAGACCTGTTTCTTGCGAAGCTTGCTGATCTGCTGCTCCACCATAGTGATCTCCCTGTCCACACGGTCCATGTTCTGGATGAGCTCCTCCTTGGAGAAGCGAGCCGGCACAAGATCCAAGTCAGGGTCCATCTGGACCGGGCTGACAGGGGAGATGGGTTCCAGCTTCCCCATGGCACTCCCACGATCCTACAGACGCACAACAGGGAAAAAAAGTGGCATGGTTACATGTTAAAGATCTATATAATATTATGATCCTCAGTGTTTTCAATTTGACACTCGAGAAAAAGTCAAACACAATAAATTAATTTGATTTAAATCTGAAGGGAGGAGTATTTCTAAAAGGAATTTCATGAGGTAAGAGAAGTCTACACAATGTTTGGATTACACTGATTGTAGATGACAAGTCAGTGTAAGATATCTGACATACAACGAGCATAAAGACCCTCTTGATATGTTTTGACCCTCTCAGATAAAAGTTTCCATCTCTTCTCTTTCCTGCTGAAAGCATCCCTGTCTTCTTCTGATTTTAAGGTCGGCAGGTTATTTCATAAGAAATCAGCCAAACATAGTCTGTGTATCCTTTCGGAAGGAAACACACACCAGTAATTAAGTCCTCTGGGTAATGAAAGGCAGTGTAGTGTCTCAGTGTCACTAGACCACACTAATGAATATGAGGTCACAGCCTCCCTCACTAGGATTGTGCAGCAGAGCGCTGGCAGCTGCCTCTGCTTGAGAGACTTTGTTTGAAATGTGAAATACTCTGTTTTAAGGTGTAGAGTAGATCAAATTCAGGACGCACTTGTCTTCTGGCAGAAGAATGGAAACGGTGCGTGTCTGTCACTCAAACAATACACAGTGCGGCTCATCAAATGAGCAGCTGCAGCGATGAGAGAGAAGAGATTCATTAAACTACAGTAGCATACTCATAAGTCAGTGTAGCCACTGTGCACTGTCATTCATCAGACATTTTCCAGTCAGGTGCCGCTAAACCACAGCAGAGGAGGACGGTGCAACAAGATGACGTAGATGAAAGAGCCCAGAAGAACCTCAAACAAACACAAATAATGTGGACAACGTGATGTAAATATAGCTTTTCCGCTCGTTTCATGCGTTAACCTGAGGAACGTTACAGTCTCCTCATTAGTCCACACAGATCTGATGTTTACGTCTGCAACAGTTTTTAGTCTCTTCATTAGAGCAGAAGTTTCAGTGGACGTTTAAGTCACATGCCACATATAAAGTTCAGTACGTCGTGACTTATTCACTGATTTATTCACTAACTTTTTCACCTCAGCCAAGCAGAACAAAAGCATTACTTTTTTTTTTTTAATTCTTTTATTGCATTTCCTACATTTCCATTGAGACTCTGTGCATTAAAAACAGGTGCACTAAAACCAGCAAAAATTTACATTTTTGTGAACCTACAGAGGCAGAGAATTTTTTGCTCTAAAAATTACAAATAATTAACAATTATTATCAAAATGATAATTACTTATCTGTCCAGCTAATCATCTAATTGTTTAGGCTTTAATCAAGATGAATAGGTTATTAATTTTGCTTCAATTCATCCCTGGGATAATTCTTGCGCTTCAGGGAGCATTATGACCACATAATGAAAGCAGCCAGCTTCTTCTTGGAGATAACCATGAATCTAGTCTATTACATTGTTAATACATGTATTAGAAGCCCCCCAAACATTACACGTAGCTGTAACACTCAATGACTGGTTCATCACCACATGTTGTTTAGATCACAGTCGAGCACTGTAGCTGCATTTAAGACTGTTTCTGAACTAAATAAATACCTTCAGTGGTTTACCATGGAAAGGAGAAGGTAACCTGCATGATCATCTTCTATTATATCCCTTAAAAGGCGAATTTGTCTTTGCAAAGTGATTGCTGTACTCCACACATGAATATGATTTTAGCTTTAGCCTGTCAGGCCTCCTGACGTCTCCCACACAGTTTGATGAGGTGTTCTGGACCACATACACATTCAGATGTGCTGCCTTAGAAAGATCATGCTTGAAGCCAATTCTCAGTAATCCATTCACATGCACAGCAAGAGTGGAAACCGTGTTGCTGTTACATGCACCGGTTTATGTAATATCAACACACGCACACAAATGGTAAGAGAGGGCTACTTGCTCTGCAGGGGCAGCATCTATCTATTTGTGATGTGTGTGTGTGTGTGTGTGTGTGTGTGTGTGTGTGTGTGTGTACGTGTGTGCGCGCGTGTTCCTGCTTTTTTGTATGTACTGTATGTCAGCATCCTACAGTTACATCCTCCACAAATGACTACATGTGTGATCCAGTTTGGGTTTTGTTTTGCGATATTTTTAAACGCCTGAAATGAAGATTATGTAAATGGGCTAATCTGGACTAGGCAGCTTGCATTACAGCCCCGTAGACCTGCTGTGATTGAAAATGTCAGTGCCAGATGATGTTGAAGGGCTGTGCTAGATGAAGGAGCCCACTGTCGCCAAAGCCATTTAATCACAAAAAAAAAAAAACACAACACATAATTTAAATAAAAAAATTCTAAAAAAAAATAGGGGGAAAAAGGCTCGACTTGTCTCCTTGACAACATCCTTCCTGACCTGTGTTCCAGCTCAGCGTGCCGGACATTTCTCTCAGGGGACGAATTTATGGTGATGTAAAACCAGATATCATTACACAACATGCGTGCATGATGACCACAGTCACAAGAAGGACATCACATGTTCACAGGGGATTTTTTTTATATAAACCTTTGACTCCTTTCATTTCTGCCTTTGTTGCTGACATTTCTGAACTGCCATTTCGCTCTGCTGTGATCTCACGGACGGTAAAGTGTGTTCAAGATGTTTAGAGAGAGTTTAACCAGGAGGGATTTTATGGTGTAATTAAACTTTCAAGTCAAAAGTAGTGTACACTGTCAGAGACTGAATTTTCCTTTTCCCTGTGGTCCTGTGCCCTACACTGTCCTCTGTTCATGTCAGCAGTGCAGCAGCACATCAACAACTACTACACCTGTGACATAGTGTGAAAAGGTCACAGGCCAATAGCTAAGCCCTTGGCCCAGCACAGCTTACAGCTTATATGCCCTCGACAACCCCGGTCACATTTAGAACATTCCACTGCATGATGTCTCAGGCTGTGCATGCATCAGGTTTTATTTAAATTACCTCTGGGTGTTGTGGCACGTCTGTGTGAATGTGTTCTGTTTAGTGAGCACCAGCCTGTGTGACTGAGTCACATAGTCTTAAGTGTATGCATTCCAGACAACATTTGAATAAAGCTGTACATATCCTGTCTTAAACATCCTGTTCAGAGTAGTAACACTGGTTTGGACGGGAAGCCCACTCTCATGTGAACAACACAGCAGCTGGTGCACAAAGCTACTGAAACTGAGGTGACTGAACTGGGATTTTCTTAGATTTCAAGGCTGAATCTCATTAGCAAAAGATAAACAATACAAACAATAGCAAAAAAAAATGCATAATGGAGTAAACATGGTCTCAATAACGCTCTAACATTTTAACAAGGTTGAGATTTAAAGCTAAATGAAAATCTTTAAAATGCCAGAAAACTCAGGCGTAAGTTGTGTGGGTGGCCTTGCTGTGAACCGTCAACAACAACAGACCTCGTTTATTTTTTATGCTTTGTTCCTCGAGCCAAAGACAAAAAAGATAGTCATTTATGTCAATGACTTGGAAAGTTCTTAAATGTGGACTATTGCTGCTCCATGGCTGCTGCCTTTAATGCAACTATCGAATATTTTCATAAATGTGTAATCATTATGACAATAATTCAAATAATCTGACGGGATACATGTAAGTAAGAGGAAGAAGAAATCCAGTGGGTCAGACAACAGACAAGTACATATAATACTATTTTCTATTATAATTTAATTTACATTTGCATAAAGCAAGTGATAGTGGTAAGTAATAAAAATATCTACAAGAATGTGTCTCAACAGCTGCAATACACAGTCTGTGAGTGTTGTTTCGGTGGCATTTGACATCTCACTGCTGCTCTATGCTCTGATAAACATAGACCAAAACACTACAGAATCCTTGTTATCACTTTCTGGATGTAGATAGTCTTGTTCAGGCCAGTGTCTTCTGACTACTGGCATGCGTCGTCCCTGATCGCTGAACATCCTGTGCCAATAAGGTCATCAGTCCAGATACACAGCTGGTGCTATTATGACTGGGAATATAAAAAAAACATTTGTTTCCCAGACGCCTTAAGTAAAAAGGCAGAGGGCAGGTGGTGTTCAGGAGATAATGTAGAGATATGTAACTATAGGCATGTGTGAAACACTGAAGATACAATGCTCTCTACAGCCATAATACAGCAATCTACTGTAATAATGTCTGGCAGTCAAAGTTAACAAATACTCTAGTCTACACTTCACTGCTAAACCTCTGAATTACAGTGAATTCTAGTACTTGAGTATCAAATAAAGTTCAGTTTTTAAGGTGAACATGTGCGTGTATACAGTTCAGAAAAAAAGTGAATCTTGGGTTTAAAATATTTTATCACAGATATACTCTGTTTTCCCAAGGTCGAGACTGAATCTCCGAGCTCAAGTTTCAGTCCTTTCAGTTTTTACACGCAGACTGGCTTCCTCTCTATCTCTCCCTCATTTTCTCTATCTCACGCATTTAGGGGAATCAGTCAAATGACATTCACAGTATCACTGATTTAATGTCCATCTCGAGAGGAGACACCTGGTCACCAAAACCGGGCGAGTGTCCAGCCAGCATACGACCCAAGCTGAGGGGAGGGAGTGTAAATACAGCCCACACAATACTGGATTTTTGAGCCAATACCAATAACAATATCTGATAACAATATATCAGCCCACTTGCATAAGAACCTAATAAAATAAACACTTTTGATTAAGATCCCTCAGACTTAGTTATTTAAGAATTGTGGCCATGATACATGCTGAACATTAGCATTAAAAAATACATCTTTCAGTTCTCTGGGGGGTCAAACAATGTAAAGGCTACACTGTTGTGAAACTAACTCTATTACTGTGCTGCAATGTCTTGCGATTCAATGCCAACGTAACCATTGATACCAATATATCTGCAACAACCTAATATCAACAGTTACTACATATCAGCCCTGCTGATTTATCAGTTTAAAAGAAGGTCAGCTAACTCACATATACTCATTCAGACAGGCCGAGACACATTGGACCAGAAGCGCTGTTTTCATCAGAATGGGAGGTTAGTCAGCTTTGTCACATGTAGTTTTCTAAGCATCCCATCGCTCCAACAGCACTGCTCACTCTTTGAGCCATATATGGCAAGAATGGCATGAATGGAAATTTTGTGAGAGCTCCCTTATAAAGGAGAACACTCGAAGTCTCTCTTTCTAATCTGATCTTCCATCTTTTTCTCTTTTTTAACCACACACTCAAGATGACTGCACAATTGTGTACAGAAGCAAAATGTTGCTTTTGTCCTTCTTTGTCTCACTGTCCATGTGAGTCATGATGCAAGCTCCAGCTTTGTCTGATACTACTGGCCTACTCTTGCCTTCTTTTCCTGTTGATCTTTGTCTCTTTCTCCTCCCTTTCCTTTTTCCCCCCTTTATTTGTGCCTCTCTACACTTCTCCACTTCCCATCTCCTCCTCTTTCCGACTATCATTTGGTGCACTTGCTCCATGCAGTGATTGCATCTGACATGACTTATATAATGGGTTTACAGCCCGAGCTGCTCTGAAGGGAATTACTGGCATTCCTGAATATTTGCCTGCTAGCTTAAGAGTCAATGTTTTTTTTGTTGTTTTTTTTTTTTTTTTTTTACTGTACCCTCTGTTATTGGTGTATCTATTTACCATTCCTTGGCTGTCTGCCTCCCCTGGCGGTTTGAAGCTCTCTGTGTAATGTCAGGAACACCTCCCCATCAGCAGTTCTACACTGCAAGCAAGTCGTTTTGATGTGCAGTTCACACAGTTTCTTCCTCAGTCTTTTGAAATCTAGGTCAGCTCTATTATTTATTAATTGCTGTTTCACAACTCCCTTAGTCTTCCCACTGCTGCTCACAGAGCTCCAGCTCCTACAATACAGAATCTCCGGCATGTCTAATAATATCCGCTGTGGCTCTGAAGGAGGCCCGCTGGGATTAGTCCAAAAAACACAAGATGCCTCCACAATGCAGTCGTAAAATTTTTGAGCAGAAGTATCCACATTATGAATCAGAATTTATCAAACCCTCTGAGGCACTAACACTGATTTTCAAAATACCAATATGAAAATATATATATTTTTTTATTTTTATGACAATAGACAGCTAGGTATATCACCATAAATTTAAACAACAAATCAATTATCTCTCTACACGATGGCATTTTGTTGCTTGACTGGCGGTTATTCCTGGCCATCATCTCATTGACCATCTCGCTGTAATATGTTCCGAACTGTCAAAATCCTGTACTGTGTGTTTTAGTGGCTACTGACCTTTGCCATATCCTCAGCCCCTCCCAGAGGCAGCGATTGCCGGTGGGACGAAGGCCTCATCAGAGACTCCGGTCCGATCTCTAAACGAGGCCGTTTGATCTCTGCATACTCCACCTCTGACTGGCTGCTAGGCTCAGGCAGGTATATGTGTTCATAGCGAATATGCTGCTCCTGTCCCCTGCAACAGAAAAAATACAAACATAGCACATTAGAGAACAGGACTCGAGATTGAGAAACTTACTGCACATTGAGCTACAGGCAACAGTTAATACTATGGGGCTTGTAATATCGAGCCTTGCTCAATTATGAGAGTTTCTAATGTAGCTGCTGATGAAAGAAAACAGTATATTTCTTCATGCGCTGGTGTCTTGTGTAAGGTTTTTGGCCATATTAGCAGTGTGGAAGACTGAATGGACATTCATGGACATAGACGATGAACCACTCTGATTTTGACCAGAAATATTGTTGTATGTATGTTGGAACATCTCTAGAACTATTGACAATTTAACGCTAACATAGCAAGGTGGCAAATGGTAATATCAGCATGATAAAATACCCTTAGTTAACATGCGTATTAGCATGCTAACTGTGGGCCTGTTAACATACAAACGTTAGCATGGATTTACTGTAGATACTGGCATTCAGCTCAAATGGTTACGGTTACGCTGCGGTGCAGCTGAGGCAGATAAATTACAGTTGAAACTGATGAAAGTTGAGCACAATCTGATACTGTAGGAGGGAAAGACTAGTCCCGAGGAGAAACTAGTGGAAGATAAGGACCATGTGTGAAGTTTGACAGCTTGACTGCTGTGATCTTTTGCCTGAAATACTAGACCAGACCTCAATAGCAGAGACAATACTTCCAAAGCAAAATCAAGTGAGAGGTGAAGATCAATCAAATCAATGGGCAAAAGACAAATTAATCTTCAGTTTAATTCTGCGTCAAGTCAGACTGATACCCCAGTCTGAGATGTGAGGACATCAGTAACTCTGAGACAATATTGATCTTGTGAGCAGTAGACAAGCTTCGGTGCTGATTTTGTGCGAACACAGTGGTCTAATCAAATCCCATTTATACAAGCTACATTTAACCACACAAAGACACATTTGTACAAAAGCACAAAATGACAGTTACAGCCTGAGAGCAGGCTGACCTAAATCTTTACTGTTGTGTTCAAGGCACACACAAAAGCCAGCTGGCCTGCTTTGGTTCAAACAGAATCATCATAAAGTAATCACTGAGGACTATTTTTCTGCAAATTGGGAGCATGTAATGGGTCACTCAGTAGTGGAAAGTGGAAAGAAAGGGAATCAAGAAAATTGGAAATGGTGACTCACTGTAGCGCTACCACCTAATGGTTTTAAATATAACAGTGTATGGTAGAGCGGCCCTTGTGTGGGGCCACACACACACACAAAACTAAAAAGGTGCTTTGTTTTGACTCGCAGAAGACCTACGGCACTCCCCCATTCAGTACCGCAAATCTAGAACTGATCTGGATGGCTAACAGGTATCACTGGAGGAGGGGGGAGCCCCATACTGTAACATGATCTGATCGTGATCCGCTATATGTGTGGTTCTAATATAAACCACATTCTGCACATTTTCATCACATTAATCAAACTCATTAGCACACAGGGGGTGTACAGTGCACCAGTACAGCGGACCCTTGGTGTGCAGTCAAATGACAGGTTCCGAATGTTAACTGCAGTAGCTGCTTGGATCTGGGAAATTTTATTAGCCCACATGTAAATGGCTCTCTGTTCTTTCTGAGGAAACGGTTTTCTCAAGTCTGCCCTGGAGGCAGATGCCAGAATGTCACTGACTTCGCTGCCAGTGTCAAAATGGAAGTGGCTTCTGAAGAGGAGAGGGAAAACACAACCATAATTGCTGGTCCAGGCCCACAATGGCCTAGTGTGTGGTTTCTCTGTGCGCCAAAGAGCATGGAGCCTGTCTCTGTCTAGGAGGGTGCTGGTGGGGTGGTGTGACAGTCCGAGACCATCCTCTGACTAGACCAGAGGTTTACACTGGGGAGATTTGTCATGTCACTTACGTAAGATGCCAGAGTAAATCTGCATGTTAAAAGGTGACAGGAGGTGTCAAGGGAAAAAATGGATTGTGGGTGTTTATCTGTGCGATTGCCAAAATAGTATCTTGAAAAATAGGGGGCAAAAATTAATGCCCAGCTGGTGTTTGGCTGTGTTGTCCCCCCACCCACCCACCCCAACACATTTTTCTCACTCATTCAGTCGCACACTTCCTCATCTCCATAGAGGGCTGGCACTTACATAATCACATCATCAAGCTCTAGCCCACCCACCCCCCTGTTCTCCCTCTCCCTTTCCCCCTTTCTTTCTCCCTCTCCCTCTTGTGAGCGTGCAGAATAAGCTGATCCCTGGGGAGGATTTGTCTGGAGGATGAGAGAAAGAGATGTGTTATGGGTGGGGGGCGGAGCGTGTGGGGAGGAGAGGGAAGGGGGGGGGGAGGCTGGGCAACAACAAAACACAACACAACACCACGGCCCGCAACAGCTCCATCACTTTCTTATTGGCTTGGGCCCTATTACGACAAGAACAGAGATCATGTGTGCTGATAGCGGCCTATTATTGTGAAAGCACTACGGCGTTTGTGCGGCTGCCAATCTCTTCGCTGCTTCCCAGAGGAGCAGCCCCACAGCTGTGCACGGCGCAGGGGCGGCTAACAGAGAGTGAAGCGAGGCTAACTGCACCACAGCTGGGATGAATGAAACTGAGAAAGAGCACCAAAGAGGAGACAATGGTTGGAGTAAAATAAAATTTAACAGAAGTGCTCAAACACTTCTCTGTTCATATAGCTGAACACATAAAAATCACATTTAATCACGTCCTAATAGCTAAATTAACAAGGGACAGGGATATTTACAACCACTAAACACCAAATACTGGAATAACTGAAAGCAATTTTTTCGAAAAATCAATTTGTCTGATTTTTGGGATCCACAAGGCATTATGTGGTTAGAGGTAGTGGTGGGGAAAGCAGTCAATTCCTAGAATGTACTTCAGCACTGATGCACTAAACTCCTCATCAGTTTTTCCTTGGAAATAATAATAAAACATTTTAAAAAAAGACATGTGAAAAGATTGTACAAAACAAAACAAAGTAATATAATTATGTAGGTAAATATGCAAAGAAATAGAACCTTGTAAATAACAGCGATAAATTAATTTAGTTCAGAGCTAAATTACAAGAATAATCACAGTGAGTGAAGACTCATTTTGTGTTACAGCGCCAGATTTGTTTGCACTCTACTCTGGTCTGACCAGAAAAGAAACCCTCTTAAGTGGTTTCTCTGTCTTGTTACGCTTCTTATAAAATTTATTCTCTCCCTTTCTCAAGAAGCCTGGGTGATCTCAGACAGATGGGAAGAGGCGGAGTGACTGAGATATTGCCTGGAGTAAAGAGGGGGAAGAAACAAACAACTAGCACAGTGGCTTACCAGTGATTATACTATTGTGGAGCTCTGACCTGTAATTGGGGTAAATATGGAGCATTAACTGAATAGCACATTTTCACCTTGCTTTCAGCTCAAGACAATTAAAGAGCAGAAGAAGGATAGACAGATCTATCATACTGAGGAAGAGAGAAAGCCATCCTTAAAGGAAAGCCCAGTTTCTAAGGTCATGTTTGTGATTACATTTTCTGTCAGAATGTGAACAACCCCAATCTTGCTACAAATGGAGACCTGTCGTGCTGAATTACTGAGACTTATGAAAGGACAAGCACACATCTGAGAGGAGAATAGATTGAAGGATTGCCAAGGCCAGAATTACACTATTCAGACTCTGAATGAGAACGCAGAATGAGGGCTTTAGACTGGATTCTAAGCCCTCCATAGGAATGCCGAAGGCCTGATATATTCAACTGAAAGCCTCCCCACCCACAGACGCCTGCCAGCAAGACTAGCGGTTAATTTCAGTCTCCACAAAGAAACGTGGGCTAACTGCTAGTCTCCCCTTTTGATATGATGGTTTTTTTTTTTTTTTAATCTGGTGAAAAACAACTTCACTGTTCTACTGTCGAAGTTTCACACGGCATCTGTCTTGGAGAAACAGGCAACATTTATACTCAGAGTGACTGCCAAAGCACCCGTGACTGAATGAAAGGTGTCAGCAAATCAGGAGCTGGTGGGCAGCAGTTGAACAGTGCGGTGTTTATTTCTGTAGCAACCCATGACCCAGTGTTCCCACACTGCGGGCTAGGCTACACTAACCATTAAACAGTGCCTTTACAGTGAACACCATAATCCCATCTGATTGATACTTAAAGACGCTGACACAACACGCACACACTGCCACAGAGTCATTCTACCATCTGCTGTCTGCTGTTGTGACGCCATTGCATTCCAGACACACAAATTATTTGACAAATCTTGAAAGAGAGCCCCCACTCCACCCCCGGCATACTGTTCATGTAACAGATATCTGCCAGCTGATTTCTAGTGAAGTCAACCTCTTGAATATTTAATTTTTTCTATTCCTTGCATGTTTTCGCGTATGCATGAAAATCTGCCATGACAATCAAATGAAGAAAAAATATATATGTTCTTGTGACTTATCCTCTGTGCATCATGCACAATTCATGGCAGGCACATAAATTATTCACAAGTACTCATCAAGACTCATCCTCAAAAAAGCATGGCTATATAAATAATAAACAACTTTGGTAGGTACAAGACCTGAGTCTCCAGAGAGAAAGCACTATTCATACAATGCTTTGCATGACTTACTGTTGGTCTATTGAGGATGGCAAAACTCTGCAAGCTCCATTGCCTGCAGAGCCATTTAACACAACATTACAGAGGAGCGGCTTGCAGATGCCAATTACATAAGGATTACACTGGGGGAGGGTTAACAGGCAGAGGCTTTAGTAGAATAATACTGCATAAAAATGCAGCCTGCATGAAGCTTCCATGAGCATGCTTTGTCCCGCAGTCATCAAGACTCAAGGACAAACACATTAAAGGGGCAACACTGCCACTTTCATGTTATCGTGACTAACGGTGAATTCCACAACATGCATCTAGGGTCTGAGAAAATGTAAGAAAACAAAATGTCAGCTACAAACCACAGCAGAGGAGGATGCTGAATATGATGTATAAAAAAAGATTTTATAATTTTCAGATAAAGCTACAGCGATTATATTAGCCTTGCATATTTTCATGCAGTTATTTTCCTGCAACGTTTTTTCATTTACACACCCTCATGCTTTATTTGCAGTGCAAATACTGTACAAATGAATGATTATAAAACAAACAGCACCCACTACAGCAGGTAATGAAATGCGCAAGGATTCTAAACATGGTGCCATCAAAAAAGAAAAAGCAATATATTGCTTATGAGAATAGAATTTATATTTGAGTGTGGTAAACCTACCTCTCATTCCCAGGCTGAAACTCTGACAGCAAGGAAGGCCGACGGCGATGGGGCTGGGCCAAGTGGGAACTGTAGTCCCTGGCATGAGAGTGGTAGTCGACCAGTCCCACTTCCTAGAACACAAACAACAAAAAGTTTTCAGCATTGATCCCTTCTCTTATATCTTATAATCTCTTATATATAATATTTTTTATATTTTTCCCCTCCATTCCCTGCCTTGTTCCCTCTGTAATATCCAGTCCTTTTCTCTCCTGCTCTCATTTCTCTCATTTGTCTTTCACACAAGTGGAGTAACCCATACAGCTACTGTAAACTTGCGCCTCTGCCAATCAAGGATTGCGGGACACAGCCCATCAACCCTCATCTCCTCCTGAATGTGATGACAAGAGAGAGCAGTAGGATTAACTACATGTGCAGCTGTGGGGATCCTGGGGGGTAAGCCTTGGATTCTCCCGCCATACCAGAACAAAAAAAGCCTTGTAAACACTGGAGGTCAGATACTGAACTTCTGTATCACCTAGAGGCCTCTTCTTTGAAGCAGACAGCTTTGTCTGTAATATGTAGAGGAAAATAATCTTGATAATTAGGAGATGTGGGTGGAAATAATGGGGAAGCCTTAATGTGACTCCATGGTGACAACATGAACTTTCAACTCAAACATCTAATGAGGGTTCTGTGTGCAAAACAATGTAACCCGGGAATGTTTCTGTTGGAAAAACACCAGTGGGGGCCTCTGGGGTCAGACCCTCTCCAGTGGTTCAGAGTAATACCCTGTTTACTAAATACCCACCAAGCACGCAAAGCCCGAGCTACAACTACAGTAAAATCTCTAAAATGTTGAGGCACTACAGGTGGTCCATTAAACGCATTGTGTGCCGGGCCCCTTACCGTGTGCTGCCGCTGCAGCTGCAGTGGTAGAGAGACAGGGTTTGACAGGTGCCGTGTGTCCAGTCCAGTCCTCCGGCCCGGGGGCACAGACTGGGGATGAGAGGACATGCTGGCACAGCCGCTTCCTCTACAGGCAGGAAGTGGGTGTGGCTGCAGAGCAGATGCTGTTCATTATTGGTTGTTTCTCTTAGCCAGAAACCTGTAGAGAGAGAGAGAGAGAGAGAAAAAAAAAACAAACCATGAGACATTTTTGTAGTTGAGGAACCTCAGATGAATTGCATTGAACACCTTTGTACCTGCACAGAACAATACATAAAACATCGTACAAAAACACGCAGCGGTTGCTCGGAAACAATTTGATGTTTTCTGGCTAGCACTTCCAGAGTACTTAGAGATGAAAGTGCGCGTCTGTCTGCTCCGGATATCAGAATGTCATCACCTCCCTACCACAGCTGCTCCCCCCTCCAGTGCTCCTAGTAAAGGAGTGAGAGTCCCTGCACCTGCTAGACTGAACCCCTCCTTCACTGCTTACTGAATGGCCCACTGTGCTCACACTGAGGACTCACAGACAGAGACCAGCCAAGTCAAGCAGCTAGCTGGTAAACCAAAAATACTCTGAGTTTAATGGGGCTTTAGAGGCAACATAAATAACTCAATGACAGATAGAGATGTAGGCCTGGAGAGTCAGGCACTAGATTTTAATTTCAGATGACGTTATGCAAACCAGAGTGACTCTTCTCATCGTCTCTTATTTTGACATTTCCAACAATGTGTTATATGACCCACTCCTTGTAGATGAGGACAGACATTGGCACAAGATGACAAAATTGCAGCAAAGAGCTCAACTGGTAGAGTGTGTACCACTTAGGCTCAGTCCTTACCGCAGCAGCCATGGGTTCGAGTCTGACCCATTGCCCTTTGCTGCATGTCATCCCCTCTCTCTCCCCAACTTTCCTTTCACTCTCTCATTGCCCCTATATGAATAAAGGCAAAAACTGCCCAAAGGAATAACTTTAAAGAAAAATAGTGGCAAAGAAATGTCATACATCTGTGATTTAGACATGGTTGGGATTTCTGAAGTTAGATAAACAGCAAAGCGATATTTATTGCAAAATTTGCAGGCAACCCATGCTGATACAACACAACAAACATTTTCCACCATTTGAAATGGTACCATCTCACGGAGTACACAGAAAGTCTGTTAGCACCAGCAGCACCCAAGCTCGAAAACTTCAAAACCCAGCAGCCGTCACTCCTCTCTGCCTTCAGTCATTAGTGTCTTTAATTCAGACAATTCCAGTGGCTGTTTGTCACTTTATGTCTCACATTTATCTAATCCATAAAAATTTTTTTAATTATTATTATTAAGTGGCACATAAAAGTAAAATACAAATGCCAGGTCCAGTGTGCAACAGCCAATGTGTTGCACAACATGTTGATTATTTGTGCATTTATTTAAAAAGGTATAACAGGCAACTTCTCCACATCTAAAAAAGACAAGGCCCATGTTATATATTTTGTTTAGTTGTGTACTTACATTACCTCGAATTTTTCATTCAAATGTAGAGAAATCTGCCATTTTATTCAAGGTAACAGTCCATTTCATTTGGTCACCTGTCAACGATGACATATCCTCTTGGTGCAGGTGTCACGCCTTTTAGATCTTGGTCATTTCTAACTATAGATTTTAACTGCTTTATTCAGTGATTTTACCGGCTTCGATCGCCTGTTCCTTTTGTTTTGGAGTACAGGAGACCTCTGTGGAAAATTCAGCTCCCAGTAAAAACCTCCAGAACGATTAGCGCTGAAGGAATCCTAACCAGTAGTAGCCGACTGCACTGACGGCAATGCTGGTGAAGACACCAGCTCCCATGATTCCACACTACTTCATGGCGTCACACTCCGCCCATTGTTATTGTTTTAATTAAGAGACCCCAAGCGGCAGGAATTACATATTGTGCATTTAAAAACATTGGGGCTGTTACCTTGTTGAGGTGTTAATGTTACACCATGTGGGCTGCAGAGAATATCAAGTTATTGATTCAAATATAACTGACAATTTAGAACCATAACAGACCTCTAATTTGATTTATTTAGGATTAAATCCTAAACTGGATAGACCTACTGAACTTCAAATTAGTTGCATGTTGTATGAATTATCGATATTGAATGAATTTGTGGATTTTCAAGGTCCAGGCAACATTCAGCTCTGTCCAGCCGCTTACTGCTCTCTGTTCAGGCACTCCAAAAAGCCTGTGATAGTAGTAGTAGCTAGACTAATACTTGTGATATGTGTCCCTGTGACTCCTGCCAACAGAGAAATTAGGACTCCTGCCATTTCTATGAGCCAGTGACTAATGATGCCTCTCCCTCATAGCTCATGTTTCAGCACTGAGTGAGGCACACAACAAGCGGCACGGTGGCTGAAATACGGGCTCTCAACATGGCACTGATCGAAATCTTGACAAGACAGCAAAGTGCTCTGGGTGCGCTGCAATTTTATTAACTGAATGGAAAAGCCACCAGCACTGGGCCAAACTCCTGGAGCATTTTATTTCTAGACACCAATGAATGAGATTGTCACTGAATTTAATCATGTGCTTGTTTTCAACAGTAACCATAAATAGTTTAAAAGCATAACAAGAAATTTTTAAATAAATATTAAAACTGTCTTTAAAAATAGTTATTTATTTAATTAATGAATTATTACTAGGATATCGCCTGAGAGTTAGTTTCCTATTTTGATCTTGTTACAACCCAAATGAGATTAATTTAATTTAGGTGCTTCCTTCATTTTGATGAAAACACAAAAGATCTGGCCTAGATGCTATATAGGATATATTGTGCTAAATAAATAAGCTGTTTAATGGCCTTTGATTCATGATGCCATCTCTCTGTCTACATTAGCATGATTTGTTAACTGCCTGGACCTGTCATGTCCAATTCATGTTTTCTGTGTCAATAGGGATCCAGATGGGTCCACATGGATTCACATGATGTAAAGTTCATCATCTGCCTAAGTACACGAGGTTCCTCATGGACCCTCTGCAGACGCCCGTGTGCAGCACCAATTTGAGTCCACACAGACTGTCCACTGCGCGACCTCGGCAGCCACGAATGCACCAGATGAGTAACGTGGACGCTGGTTTCTTGCATGTCTGTATTGTTTATTTCCCATTCTTGGCCACATTCTTATTAAGTTCATCTTTTTAGTGTTGTTCAGTCAAATACAACAAACAAAAGCAGCGTTAATACTTGGTGTCAGGAGGTCACCATCACATTTCTAGTGTGCACGTGTGGAACATGTCTGCATACACATAGCTGCAATTAAAGCACGGATAGAAGCGTGTCCACATCCACAGTCCGCATCTGTCCGGGGGCAAGCGGAAACCATGAACTGGCCTTCAGGGGTACAGCTGTCTGCTTGTAGCTCCACAACAGTGGACTTTATTGGCATTAGGTAGCACTCCTTTACTTTTTGTTTAGTAAATATGGTATCTCTATCGCTACATTAACATAAATGCCAGTCTTTTCACATGCCTCTGCATAAGTAATAACATTCATACTTCTTTGTGGAAACAAGACGACTGACGACAAATACTGGGAGACACAATTAACAGTGCTATTGAAGGGAAAATACAATGAAGTTTTCAATATAATTTTTCACCTAAATGTAAGAATTTCAAATGAAAACTCAAAAAATAACACTAGGTCAAACTCACAGCCAATGATGGTCTATAAACTGTAACATTTGCTCACTAGACAGGTCAGCTATTACCACTGGTGTCCATAGTTCCTCTGGTGGTCCTTTGAAAGACAAGGGTCTGAGGAGGGACCACTGAAACCAGTAATAAACAAGCACTTTATTTACTATGTTTACAGAACCTGAGACCAGACAACACCACATTGGCACAGTAGAACTTATGGTAGAGTGCCAGTGTGCCAGTCTCCATTGTCTGACTCTGGATTTGACTCTTTTTTTTTGCTGCACAAAGAGGGGTACTTTCTACCCTTCCTTCCTGCTCGACTGCTACAAACACAAAGTGTCACTTGATTTCAGTTACGCAAAGGGCTCTGTTACGAAAGGCTGAGCATGGCTCTGGTTTTAAGGAACAGAGGAGCTCTGTAAACATAGGCTCAGGGAGGCCGCAAGATAGGAAAACAGTGCTGAAAAGTCTCACACCAACTAGACACTTTAACTTTGAGTCAAGTAGTCTACACTGTGGATTCAAATATTTTCAAGAAAGTCATCTTTTTGGTCACACAAACCTGGATAAACACACCACATAAAGGCAAGTGCTGCAGTTCTGGAGTACGTCTCAATGCTGGTGAAATACTAGATGAGGAAAAACTCACGATATTGACATAGAATACAAATATGCTCAACAAAAGGGCAGAAAAAGAGGCCAGCAAGACAAAGAGAGGGTGAGATAAGCCATCCTCCTCAGACGCCTCTCTTTGATGACCGTCCAGCCCAGAGAGATTCCCCTGAGAAGGAGGAAAACAAGTCTGAAGGCAGTCACAAGATCTGCAGAGGACAAAAAACCTGAATCAAGATGAGAGGCCTAACACAATGAGAGAGCTTTGACATAAACTCTGAGGCGAATGGGGCCTTCCAGACGAGAGGCTAAACACATGCACTGGCACTGCTACAGACACCCACAGGCAAGTCGATGGCTCACTGCCAACACTGCGAATGAACTCAGTCACCTCACTCTCTCACTCTAGCGTGCTTTCCTTCTCCCCTCTCTTTTGCTTTCGTCTTCTCCACAGAGTAGAGTGGGCCTCAGCCTTCAGCGGTGCGAGCCAAAATTTCATCCTCTTACCCCCCACCCTCCCTCTCCATTTTAGGAATGGCTGTGGAAATACTAGCACAGAGCACACAGACGGCTTCCAGCCTGCCAAGGAGACCAGGAGGCTGACTTCAAACAACAGTTAAATTCTACTGACATTAACAGTTAATCAAATCTCTGCCTGGTCTGACTTGGTAGCTTGACAGTCCGGCTCCAAAAAGCAGATTCAAAAAGCGTGTAACATATTTTTTGATAAGAGCCTTGATAACACAGCTTGGACCTTGATAGAATGGAGTGTGATCGACCCATCACTACAGCAGCACTGTACTGTTAATTATATGCCCATAAAAATATTTTGCACGTATTTTTACACAAAAAGAAACACAGAGTATTGAGCTGTCACGCA